AATGCACTTAAAAGTGAAGTAACTGTTGAGAAAATATAAAGGCGGGGTAAGTCCATCTAGAGCCTCTTGCAGCTGCAGCAGCAAGAGCTGCTGCTGCAGCAGCAACAGCTGCTGCAGCAGCAGCAACAGCAGCAGCTACAGCAGCAACAGCTCCAACAGCAACAGCTGCAGCAGCAACGGCAGCAGCAGCAGCAACTGCAGCAGCAGCAGCTCCTTTTGTGGGCGAATTTGAGTCTTCACCTCTCAAACAACCAAACAATCTATTTTAATTACTTTTATCATTTATTATTTAATTTAATTTAATTTAATTAGTTTAATTAATTTAATTAATTTAATTAATTTAATTAATTTAATTTAATTAATTTAATTAATTTAATTAATTTAATTTAATTTAATTTACCTGTCTGCTGTCGACGGAAGAAAGAACTGCTGCAATTCTCTCTGTTGAGAAGACAGATATTAAGTTGGAGTGAGGCTGCTGCTGCTGCTGCTGCTGCTGCTGCTGCAGTTGCTGCTGCTGCAGCAGTTGCTGCTGCTGCAGCAGCTGCTGCTGCTGCATCTGATGGTGCTGCTGCTGCTGGTGCAACTGAAAAGCGCCACCAATTAGCTGCCCCCGTGTTGCTGTTGCTGCTGCTGCTGCTGGTGCAGCAGCAGCAGCAGCAGCAGCAGCAGCAGCAGCAACTGGGGCCGGCAGCTGCAGCGAGGGGCCCCCTGTCTGTACACCGTAGCCAGGCGCTGCTGCTTGCGCAGCATTTGCTGCTGCTGCTGCTGCTGCTGCTGCTGTTTCTGCCTGGTGTGTCTCCTGCTGCTGCTGCTGCTGCTGCTGCTGCTGCTGCTGCAGCGAAGCAGCAGCCACCGAGGAAGGCAGCAGCAGCAGCTGCTCTTGAGAAGCCCAAGGGGGGGCCCCTGCTGCTTGGCTGCAGACTAAGGGTTCGGGTGTATGTACATCTGCTGCAAAGCTACCTACAGGATCTGCTGCTGCTGCTGCTGCTGCTGCTGCTGCTGCTGCTGCTGCTGCTGCTGCTGCTGCAGGGCCCTCAGTGTAGCCTTCGGGGGCCCCCTCTTCGGCCAGGCTCAGCGTGGGCGCGCTGAGTGCTGCAGCAGCAGCAGCAACAGCAGCAAGTGCTGGCGCGGGCACAACAGGGGGCCCCTCTGGGGGCCCCTCTTCAACTTCTCCGTCTTCGGAAATGGGGGAAAAGCCCGGAGAGGACATGAGTGGTGTGTGCTGCAGCAAGTGTTGGGGTGTCTGTACACCTGAATCTGGGGCTGTTTTGGAGGCAGTAAAAGCAGAAATTGAAAGTTTTTGGAGAATTAAAATAAAGAAAAGAATTTAAAGTCTTTTGGAGCAAAAGAAGCGGCGAAAAGCTGCTGCTGCTGGGGCTGCAGGTGCATGCGCGCGCGGCTGCGGCGCTCCGCAGCAGCAACTGGCAACTCCCGCGGCGTATTTAACCATTTAAAACGCAAATAATAAATTAAAAGTTAAATTAAATATAAATCAATAATTGTTTTAATCAACTTCGCCGTTTAAACGCTTAAAAATGATGGAACTTGAGCCCAAGGAGGCGAGATCTGCTGCTGCCTCATCGGAGAGCCACGGCTGCAGTTCCTTGCTGCTTCGCAGCAAAATCTGCAGTTTATAATGAATAATAAATAAATATAAAAATAAAAATTAATTATTTATTAATTGTGATCGATTTATTTGTTCATTTTGACCTCGAGAAGAAGTCGAGCTGCCTAGACACCGCAGCCAGCTGCCTATACACCGCAGAAGCCAGCTGTCGATACACCCGAAAGTACTACTAGCAGCAAGCGCAACAGCAGCAGCAACAGGCAGCAGCAGCAGCAAGAAGCAACAGCAGCAGCAGCAGGCAGCAGCAGCAGCAGGAAGCAACAGCAGCAGCAGCAGGCACGGGCAGCGGACAGCAGCCGTAGGCAGCAAAGAAGGCAGTGGCAGCAGCAGCAAGCAGCAGCAGCAGCAAGCAGCAGCAGCAAGCAGCAGCAGCAAGCAGCAGCAGCAAGCAGCAGCAGCAAGCAGCAGCTGCTGGCAGCAATCCCAATAAATCTTTTCTGTTTGCAAATTCTTCTTTTTGCCTCTCCTAATTCGCTAACTGAGTAAACCCTAATTTAGGGTTTAGGCTCTACTGCATGCGCCTTTGGCGCAGACCCTCAGCTATCTCCCGGGCTGCCAGATACGCTTCAGGGGTTAGGGTTTAGGGTTTAGGGTTTAGGGTTTAGGGTTTAGGGTTTAGGGTTTGGCTGCTTCCCCGAAAACCTCTTTATTCCTGAAAGCCAAAAAGATGAGAAATAAAAAGTCTTTTTGAGTTGCCAATCTTCAGTTCTTTTCATTGTTTCTTTTATTGTTTATTATTTATTTATTTATTTATTATTGTTTATTTATTTATTTATTTATTTATTTATTTATTTATTTATTTATTTATTTATTTATTTATTTATTTATTATATTCATTTATTTTTTAATTTCGCTCCTTCGCAAAAAGCTGACAATACACGGTAGCGCTGCAGCAGCAGCAGCAGCAGCCGCAGCTAGAACTGTTGCTGCAGCAGCAGCAGCAGCAGCAGCAGCCGCAGCTAGAACTGTTGCTGCAGCAGCAGCAGCAGTCGCAGCTAGACCTGTTGCTGCAGCAGCAGCAACAGCAGCTAGAACTGTTGCTGCAGCAGCAGCAACAGCAGCAGCTGGAGAAAAAAGATATATTTTAAATTAAATTAAATTAAATTAAATCTAAACTTCATTTGCAGATTTTCTTTTTAGTTCTTTTCTCTTTCTTCCTGCTGCTGCCTCTCCGTCCATCCGCCGCTTCTTTCCTGCTGCTGCTGCTGCTGCTGCTGCTTTGTCTGCTGCTGCTGCTGCTGCTGCTGCTTTGTCTGCTGCTGCTGCTGTTTTGTCCGCTGCTGCTGCTTTTTTGCCTGCTGCTGCAGCTGCAGCCGTGTCTGCTGCTGCCTCCTCGTCTGTTGCGTCTGCTGCTGCCGCGTCTTCTGCTGCTGCTGCGTCTTCTGCTGCTGCTGCTGCTGCTGCTGCTGCTGCTGCTGCTGCTGCTTGGGGTTTTTCTTCTGTAAGTCTTTCAAGAAATTTGAAAATTTCATTTTGGAGTTTTTTGTTTTTGTTTCCTCCAGCTGTCTGTACAGCTCCCCGCACTGTCTCTTCCATCATTTCTTTGTCTTTGCAAATTAATTTAATTAAATCATTTAAAGCATTGCTGCTGCTGCTCCCTGCTGCTGCTGCTGCTGCTGCTGCTGCTGCTGCTGCTGCTGCTGGAGCTGCTGCTGCGGGGGTGGCTCGGTCTGCTGCTGCTGCGCGCTTCACAAACAGCCGCAGCAGCTGCAGCAGCTGCTGCAGCAGCAGCCGCACTGCTGTTTGCTTCTGAGACTCGCTGCTGTACGTACACTCCAAATTGCTGCTGCTGCTGCTGCTGCTGCTGCTGCTGCTGCTGCTGCTGCTGTTTGCTGCAGCATGCTGCTGCTTCTCTTTCGTTTCTTTTCGTTTCTTCTTCTGTCGCTGCTGGGCCTCCTCCTGCTCCTCTTCCTCTTGCTGCTGCTGCTGCTGCTGCTGCTGCTGCTGCTCTCGGACAGCTGCTGCTGCTGCTGCTGCTAAGAGCTGCAGCAAAGCCCTCAAAACAAAAGCAGCAAAACGCGATGGAGACTTAAAGGCCTTCAAGGGAACCATTGGGGGCTCTAGGGCTCGCTGCACTGCTGCTTCGAGGTGAGCAGGCACCTGCTGCTGCTGCTGCTGCTGCTGCTGCTGCTGCTGCTGCTGCTGCTCGCTGCTGCTGCTGTGCTCCGCTTCCGTGCTGCTTCTCCTCCTGTTTTTCGCGAGCAGACTCAGCACGACCTCCTGGGGGTCCAGCAGCCCCTGCTGCTGCTGCTGCTGCTGCTGCTGCTGCTGTGCTGCTGCTGCTGCTGCTGCTGCTGCTGCTGCTGCTAAGAAGCCGGAGTGTCTGTACACCTGAAACGCCAGCTGCGCCAGCTCGCGCTGCACAAAAGGCGAGCGAGCTTTTGCTGCAGCAGCAAACAAGTTGAGGTGTATGTACACCTGAGGAGTTCTTTCTGCAAAGTAAGAAAAGAAATTTAAATCCAAATAGCAGCAGCGCAGCGCAGCACGAGAGGAGACACACAGCTGCAGCACTTCTTCCAGCGTGCTGCTGCCCTCCTGCTGCTGCTGCTGCTGCTGCTGCTGCTGCTGCTGCTGCTGCTGCTGGGGCTGCTGCTGGGGCTGCACCGAGTCCTTTTTGCGCCGTTTTTGCTTCTGCTGCTGCTCCTCTTCTTCCTGCTGCTCGCTGCTGCTGCTGCTGCTGCTGCTGCTGCTGCTGCTGCTGCTGCTGCTGTTTTTAAATTTGCGGACCTGAGCCTCCAAAGCGTTCAGCCGCAGCAAAAATGCTGCTCCTAGTGTCTGGTTAAGAGCAGCAGCAGCAGCAGGCAGTTTGCTGCTGCTGCTCTTCAGCACCTTTAAGGTATACTCAGCCACCAGCTGCAGCATCGTCTCCGACAAATCAGTCCTCACGCTGCTGCTGCTGCTGCTGCTGCTGCTGCTGCTGCTGCTGCTGCTGCTGCTGCTGCTGCTGCTGCGTTGCAGCAGCAGCTGATGCAGGCGCTCGCTGCTGTCCAGGGCCGGCAGCAAGGGAGCAGCAGCAATTACCTCCGATGCTCTTTCTTTGCTGCTGCTGCTGCTGCTGCTGCTGCTGTTCAGTGCCTCATCTTTGGACTGCTGCTGTCTCTTTTTGCTGCGCTTAGCGGCCCCAACTTGCTGCTGCTGCTGCTGCTGCTGCTGCTGCTGGATTGCCAGCAGCGTCTGCTGCTGCAGCGCGTGGTAGCAAGCAGCAAGAGGGTTTTTGCTGCTTCTGTCTGCTGCAGCTTTGTTGTCTTTTGTGCTGCTGCTGCTGCTGCTGCTGCTTCTTTTAATTGTTTTAAATGCTGCTTCGATTGTGGCTCGCAGCTTCTTGCTGAGCTGTCCGTACACCTCGAGCTGCTGCTGCTGCTGCCGCTGCCGCCGCTGCTGCTGCTGCTGCTGCAGCAAAGCGCGGCTGTAGCTGCCGTAGAGCGCAGTCAGCAGCTCCAAACACAGCGAGTTCCACCCGCTGCTGCTGCTGCTGCTGCTGCTGCTGCTGCTGCTGCTGCAGTGTATGTACACCTCAAGGGCCGACAAGGCCCGCAGCCGCAACTCTCCAAAGCGCTGCCGCTGCCGCAGCAGCAGCTTCCGCGCTGCAGCTTGCTGCTGCTGCTGCTGCTGGTGCTGCTGCAGGAAGCCGCCAAGGGGGCCAAGTCCATCTGCAGCAGCAGCAGCAGCAGCAAAAGAGTCAATGCAAAGAACCAGTTAAGCAGCAAACCAGCAGCAAATAATAAATAATAAAGAAATGGCAAATAAGTGTCCAATTAATGGACTTTTAATCACAAACAAATTAATAGCAAAAGTGTCATCTATTTTTAATTAAATAAGATCCCGAAAGAAATGAACCTGCTGCTGCTGCTGCTGCTGCTGCTGCTGCTGCTGCTATTAGCTGCAGCAGCAGCGCTGTGGCTGCGCGCGGCTGTTTGTCTTAAATGTCATTTATGAGCTTCCTCTCCTTTGAATAATTTATTTAAATGATTATTTATTTATTTATTTATTTATTTATTCATCTATTCATTTATTTATTTGCTGCTGCTGCTGCTGCTGCTGCTGCTGCTGCTGCTGCTGCTGCTGCTGCTGCTGCTGCTCACCGTCGTCAAGCAGCGCCTTGAGGGCCTCATCAGGAGTCAGCAGCACATTTGTGTCTTCTTCATCATTTGCTTCTTTTGAATTATTTAATTCTTTTGAATTATTTAATTCTTTTGATTTATTTAATTCTTTTGATTTATTTAATTCTTTTGATTTATTTAATTCTTTTGATTTATTTATTTCTTTTATTTCAGTTCCTTCCTCTTCGCTGCTGGCCTCGCTTTCCTCTTCTGTGTCTTCGCCCTCAGACTCCGAGCTGCTGCTGCTGCTGCTGCTGCTGCTGCTGCTGCTGCGGCTGGGAGCAGCAGCAGCAACGCCTACTAGCTGCAGCAGGGCCCGTCGGGAAGCAAAGACACACAAGCAGCGCCATGTTGCTGCTGCTGCTTCTCGCAGCAAGCCTTTTGCTGCAGTGTTGCCGCCCAGCAGCAGCAGTTTGCTGCTGCAGTTTGCTGCTTGCGTCAGCGCAGCAGCAGCAGCAGCACCTGCTGCTGCTGCTGCATCTGGCTCCTCAGAACCGTCCTGCTGCTGCTGCTGCTGCTGCAGCTGCTGCTGCAGCGGAGAGGCCACCAGCAGCAGCTGCTGCAGCGCATGCAGCGCCGCCTCCAGCTCTTCTTCAGCTTCCTCCTGGGCTTCCTCACTTGCTGCTGCTTCTGGATCTTCTTCATCTTCCTGCTGCTGCTGCTGCTGCTGCTGCTGCTGCTGCTGCTGCTGCTGCTGCTGCTGCTGCTGCTGCTGCTGCTTGCAGCACAGCAAATAAGGCAGCAGCGACAAAGTGCACAAAGCCACACTCAGGGCCTGTGCAGCAGCAACAAGCCCCGCCTGAATCTGCTGCTGCTGCTGCTGCTGGGGGCCCTCTTCTGCTGCTGCTGCTGCTGCTGCTGCTGCTGCTGCAGCAAGGGCTGCTCCTTGAGATGACGCGAAATAGCAAAAGGAAAGCAGCTGCTGCTTCTCCTTCTTCTTGCTTCCTTTAAGGCTTGGCAGATAAACTGCAGAGCGTAGCTCTAAGTGAACTTTCGCTTCACTGCTGCTGCTGCTGCTGCTGCTGCTGCTGCTGCTGCTGCTGCTGCTGAGGGTGCGGGCTCGCAGCTGCAGCGGGGAGCCGCCAGCTGCTGCTGCTGCTTCTTTTGCTGAGAGGGCAAACAGCAGCGCCTGTGTCTGCTGCAGCTGCTGCACTGTGTCCAGTGTCTCTGCTGCTGCTGCTGCTGCTGCTGCTGCCCCGCGGGAGCACCTCGCGATGCTGCTGCTGCTGCTGCTGCCCAGAAGGCTGCATAGCTTCCCCTTGAGCAAACGCCGTGCTGCTGCTGCTGCTGCTGCGCTGCTGCCGCTGCTCTGCAGATCAAAGAGGAGCAGCTCAGGCAGCTGCTGCTGCTGCTGCTGCTGCTGCTGCTGCAGCAAGTCCTCCATGCCCTCGGGAGCCTCCGGCGGCAGCGGCTGCGGCAGGTGCTTAGCAGCAACAGCAAAAGCAGCAGGTGCTGCTGCTGCTGCAGCAGCAGCAGCAGCAGCAGCAGGATGAGGAGAGACACGAAAAGCAACAGAAGCAACGAAAGTAGAAAGCAGCCACGCAGGCAAGAAGGGGCCCGAGCTTTCTGCTGCTGCTGCTGCTGCTGCAGACTCCCTGCTGCTGCTGCTGCCGCGGCTGCTGCTGAGGACTTCTGGCAGCAGCAGCAAACCCTCTAAGATGTACAGCATTTTGCGGTGGCGAAGTGCAGCAGAGTGCTGCAAAATAAAACAAAAGACATTTTTATTTCTTTGTTATTTTTAATTATTACATATATATATATATATATATATAGCAGCAGCAGCAGCAGCAGCAGCAGCAGCAGCAGCAGCAGCAGCAGCAGGGGCGTTAGCGTGTCTTGCCTCTTTATCTGTTGCTTCCTGCTGCTTTTCTGCTGCTGCAATGGCGCTGAGCAGCAGCAAAGAAATGGATTTAACTTCTTGCTGCTTCAAAGACCCAAAACAAATGCAGCAAATCCTAAACAGCAACAGCAAGCAGCAGCAACTAACCAGGTGTACAGACACCGCAGCAGCAACGCTCGTCCAATCCTGCTATTCAATTATACACACTTCTTGCTGCAGCTAGCTAGCTAGCTAGCCAGCTAGCTAGCTAGCTAGCTAGCTGGGTAGCTAGCTAGCTAGCTAGCTAGCTGCAGCAGTTGCTGCTGCTGTTGCTAGCTAGCTAGCTAGCTGGCTGGCTAGCTAGCTAGCTGCAGCAGTTGCTGCTGTTGTTGCTGCTGCTGTCGCTGCTGCTGTTGCTGCTGCTGCAGCAGCAGCTGCTGCTGCTGCTGCTGCTGCTGCTGCTGCTGCTCACTTAAAGAGAGACTGTTTCCTGAAGGGCGTGAAGCTCCTGGCTTTTCCGAAAGAAAGGAAAAGAGAAATTCGAAAAGAAAAAGAAAAAATAAAAGGAGAAGAAAAAAAAGAAAACCCTTCACCGAATGCTGCGCGCACAGAGCCCTGAAGCAAGCCAAAGGGTTTAGGGTTTAGGGTTTAGGGTTTAGGGTTTAGGGTTTGGGGTTCGGGGTTTAGCGCATAAACGCTAGGGTTTTGGATTTAGGGTTTAGGGTTTAGGGTTTAGAGGTTAGGGTTTGGCGAGCGGCTGCGGCGCGATTAGGGTTTAGGGTTTAGGAAAAGGGTTTGGCGAGGGTTTAGGGGTTTTGAAAACAGAAAAGGACTTCAAATAAATAAAACAAAAAACATTTATTTACGTTTTAAATGATCTTTTTCTCCTTTTGCTTCTTCCCAACTCCGCAGCAAAAGTTCACTGCAACCTCCAAACACAAAAGGAGGGTTTTGACATCCGCAGCAAACCCTAAACCCTTCTTCCAATTCCCAAACCCTCAAACCCTCTCCCTCCCTCCTGGGGGCCCCTCGGGGGCCCCCCGGGGGGCCCCCCGAGGAACTTGGGGGCCCCCCAGGGGCCCCCCAAGAGGGGCCCCCACGGGGGCCCCCAGGGGGGCCCCCAGGGGGGCCCCCAGGGGGGCCCCCAGGGGGGCCCCCGGGGGGCCCCCTGAGGGTTTGAGGGGCCCCCAGGGTTTGGGCAAGGCGTTCAGCTGTATAGCGAGCTAAAGGGTGTAGAGGGTGTTTGGGAGCTGCAGGAAAAGAAAAAAAAAGATTTAAAAAAAAAGAATTATTTTATTTAATTTGATTAGAATTAAATATTTAAAAAAGAATTATTTACTTTGATTAGAATTAAAGACTTAAATAGATTTGTTTGGTTTAATTTGATTAGAATTAAAGATTTAAATAGATTTGTTTGGTTTAACTGAGAATAGAAATTGCAATTAATAGTTGAAGTGGATTTGATAAATCAAAAAGACAAAAATTTCTCCTCGGTGTGGGGTGTACAGACACCGGAAAGGAAAGCGAAAAGAGGAAAGGGAAATTAAAGAAAATAAAAAACCAAATTAAAAAAAGATAAAAGAAATTAAAAGGATAAAAAGGATTAAAAGAGATGAAAGAGATAAAAAAGGAATAAGAAAATCAAAAAATAAACAAAAGAGATTAAAGAAGATTAAAAGGAGACCAAAAGCACAAAAGGGAGAAAAACAGAAAAGAGATATAAACTGAGACAAAAAAGAAACAAAAATAAACAAAAGAAATAAAACTAAATTAAAATAAATCAAAATAAATTGAAACAAATTAAAATGACTTTAAATAAATTAAAGTAAATCAAAATAAATTAAGACAAATGAAAATGACTTTAAATAAATTAAAATAAATCAAAACAAATAAAAGAAGATTAAAATGACTTTAAAGAAATTAAAATAAATCAAAATAAATAAAAGAAGATTAAAATGCCTTTAAAAAAATAAAAGAAATCAAAATAAATAAAAAGAAAAAGGCGGTTGTGGGGGCTGAGGTGTACGTACACTCCAGGCTGTGCACAAACGCCCTCAGAAATCCGGACTTTTCAAAAATGAAAAAAATCATTTTTTCCAATTCTTTTTCTTTCTTTTTCTTTTCTTCTCCTTTCAAGTTCTCTCCAGCTTTTATCATTTCATCTTTCAAAAGATAAACTGCCAACAAAACTGCTCGAAACCCAACACACATATTCTGCAAACTTCCCTGGGGGCCCCCCTGGGGGCCCCCCTGGGGGCCCCCTTGGGGGCCCCCCTTGGGGGCCCCCTTGGGGGCCCCCTTGGGGGCCCCCTGGGGGCCCCCTTCTTGGGGGCCCCCCTGGGGGCCCCCAAAGAGGCGTTTGTCTATTGCGGGCCAAAGTCTGCAGAATATTTCTTCGGAATTTCTGAAAGAGGAAACATAAACAAAGCAAAACAGGGTTTAGGGTTTAGGGTTTAGGGTTTAGGGTTTTGGGGGGCGGCGGTAGGCGGGAGGGATAAGAGGCACAGCACAGCGCCATATATGTTTACTTCACTTATAAATAAACACATTTATTTATTTTATTTATTCACTTATTTATTTATTTTATTTATTTATTTATTTATTTTCTTTATTTATTTTCTTTATTTTATTATTTTATTTATTTTGTTAAAAGTCTCAAAGCAAAGCAGCTTATTAAACCCTCAAGAAACAGCGCCGCCAAATTTAGTGCAAATAAAAAGCAACTAAAAAACCAAAAAAATAAATAACCAAATAAATGAATAAATGAATAAATAAACTCAATAAATAACTAACTAAATAAATCAATAAATAAATTAACTAAATAAGAAACAAATACATAATTAAATAAACAAATTAATTAAACTAATTATTTAATTAATTAATTTACTTAATTAATTAATTAATTAAATTAATTAATTAATTAATTTGTTTTTAATTAATTAATTAATTAATTAATTACGGACTTTTGAATGAGAAGAAGGCGCAGCAAAGAAAGCCACAGGCGGTGCAGCAAAGGATGAAAAGCAGCAGAGTCTTCCAAAAAGTGGCAAATCAAATTTTCGTTTTCTTCTGAAGACAAAACAAATTCGCAGAGGCACAAAACAATGGCTAGCTAGCTAGCCAGCTCGCTAGCTAGCTGGCTAGCTGGCTGGCTAGCTAGCCAGCTGGCTGGCTAGCTAGCCAGCTGGCTAGCTATCCAGCTAGCTAGCTGGCTAGCTGGCTAGCTGGCTAGCTGGCAGGCTAGCTAGTTGATCAGTTAGCTAGCTATCTGCTAGCTAGCTAGCTAGCTAGCTAGCTGGCTGGATAGCTAGCTAGCTAGCTAATTAGTGAGAAGAAGAAAGCAAAAAGGATCAAAAAAGGAGACAAAAGGGAATTAAGAAAGAATCAAGATGAAGATAAAAAGAAAATAAAAAAGAATTTAAAAAAAGGAAATAAAAAGGAAATTAAAAAAAGATACAAGAAGGAATTAAAAAGGAATTAGCAAAGAATTAAAAACGAAATAAAAAAGAATTAAAAAAGAATCAAAAGGGAATTGAAAAAGAACTAAAAAAGAATTAAAAGGGAATTTAAAACTGGAATCAAAAAGGAATCAAAAAAAGAATTTAAAAAATAAAAAGGGAATTAAAAAGGAGGTAAAAAGGAGTCGAAAAGGAATCCAAAAGGGACAAAAAAGAATCAAAAAGAATCAAAAAGAATTAAAAAGAAACAAAAAGAATAAAAGTGAAAAACTGACTGCTGAAGATTTGAATAAAATGAAAATAATCTGCTGCTGGCAGCAGCTGCTGCTCGGCGAGGAGTTTGAGGTGTATGTACACCTCAAGCAGCGAACACGGCAGCCTGTCCGTCGCCGTCTTCGGCTTTTCCCCTTTGCTGCTGCTGCTGCTGCTGCTGCTGCTGCTGCTGCTGCTGCTGCTGCTGGTTTTGAAGAGGGAAAAGAGATAAGTGAACTTTTCTTTGCAAAGAGAAAGACAGTGAGCTGCTCCTCCAATGCTGAAGAAATAAAAAGAAATAAAAAGAAATAAAAAGAAATAAAAAGAAATAAAAAGAGATAAAAAGAAATAAAAAGAAATAAAAAGAAATGGAAATAAATGAAAATAAATGAAAATAAATGAAAGCAAATAAAAGATATGAAATAAAACGAAATTGGAAGAAAGTAAGACGAGATAAAAAGGAAATGTTTGAAAACAAAACAGAGATTAAAAAGGACAAAACAAGATTTAAAAAAACCAAAAAGAGACAAAAAGACACAAAAAAAGACAAAACAAAAGATAAAAAAGAGACAAAAAGAAGAATAAAAAGGACACAAAAAGAAGAATAAAAAGGACACAAAAAGAAGAATAAAAAGGAGAAGAAAAGGAAATTAAAAAAAAGAAAAAAAGATGCAAAAAAATGCAAAAAAAGTTTCAAAAAATAAAAAACCCAAAAAGTCCCAAAAGACAAAAAAGCTGCTGCAGTAAAAGTCCCGCAGAAAGCCCTCAAAGAAATCAAATTAATTTAATTTAATTTAATTTAATTTAATTTAATTTAAATTAATTTAATTAATTTAATTAATTTAATTCAATTAATCCAACTTAATTAAACCAACTCATTTAATTAGATCCTTTTATTTATGTATTTGCTTATTTATTCATTTATTCACTTATTTATTTATTTATTTATTTATTTATTTATTTATTTATTTATTTATTTATTTATTTATTATTTATTTATTTATTTATTTATTATTTGCTGCCTACGTGGCTTGCTGCTGCAGCAGCTTCAGCAGCAGCGCTGCTGCTGTTTGCTGCAGCAGCAGCTTTTCGCTGAAGGCGCCCCACAGCCACTCGAGGGCTTCTGCTGCTTCTGTGAGACTCTGAAAATAAAAATAAATAAATAAATAATAAATAAATAAATAAATAAATAAATAATAAACAAATAAACAAATAAATAAATAAATAAATAAATAAATAAATAAATAAATTGTTTATTTAATTAATTAGTTAATTGTGAGAAGTGGTTTCAAGTGCGAGGGTTTGGCGCTTCAAGCAGATCGAACCACCTTAAACCCTAAACCCTAAACCCTAAACCCTAAACCCTGAACCCTAAACCCTAAACCTTAAACCCTAAACCCTAAACCCTAAGCCTTAAACCCTAAACCCTAAACCCTAACCCTTAAACCCTAAACCCTAAACCCTAAACCCTAAACCCTAAATGGGAAGTGAAAGTAAATGAAATAAAATACCTTTTTTGTTTTGAAGAAGTCCAAAGAAAGGAGTACATACACCCCGAGACAGCGGGCCAAATGCATTCTTTTTGCTTCTGCTGCAGTTACTTTACTGATCGGAAAACCCTTTTTTAGGGTTTGGCAAAACGACTGCAAGTCCACGCAAATCAAACCCTCGTCGTCTTCCTGCTGCTGCTGCTGCTGCTGCTGCTGCTGCTGCTGCAGCTGCTGCAGCAGCAGCAGCAGCGCCAGCGTGTAGGCCTCACGAGCGCATGCGCTAGGCGAAGCTAGCCCTTGAAGCTGCATACAAACCCTAAACCCTAAACCCTAAACCCTAAACCCTAAACCCTAAACCCTAAACCCTAAACCCTAAACCCCTAAACCCTAAACCCTAAACCCTAAACCCTAAACCCTAAACCCTAAACCCTAAACCCTAAACCCTAAAACAAAACCCTAAACCCTAAACCCTAAACCCTAAACCCTAAACCCTAAACCCTAAACCCTAAACCCTAAACCGCAAACCCTAAACCCTAAACCCTAAACCCTAAACCCTAAACCCTAAACCCTAAACCCTAAGCTGACCACTGCTAAACCCTAAACCCTAAACCCTAAACCCTAAACCCTAAACCCTAGAGCACCTTGAAGCGGGGCAAACCGAGAACGCCAGCCCCAATTCAACAAAACCCTAAACCCTAAACCCTAAACCCTAAACCCTAAACCCTAAACCCTAAACCCTAAACCCGAAAGCCTAAACCGTACCCTAAACCCTAAACCCTAAACCCTAAACCCTAAACCCTAAACCCTAAACCCTAAACCCTAAAACTACCCTAAACCCTAAACCCTAAACCCTAAACCCTAAACCCTAAACCCTAAACCCTAAACCCTAAATACAAACCCTAAACCCTAAACCCTAAACCCTAAACCCTAAACCCTAAACCCTAAACCCTAAACCCTAAACCCCTAAACCCTAAACCCTAAACCCTAAACCCTAAACCCTAAACCCTAAACCCTAAACCCTAAACCCTAAATTAGGGTGGCCAAAGGGAGACACGAAAAGCACCGGAACAATCTGGGAGAAACGGATTAAAGAAAGCAATCACAAATTTAAAAATAAATAAATAAATAAATAAATAAATAAATAAATAAATAAATAAATAAATAAATAAAACCCTTTTTAACTCACAAGTCTGTTTGCTGCGTAGGTCAGCTCACTAGGAACTGTTCTGTTGCTGCTTCTGCAAACAATAAAAGGCTTTATATTATTTGCTTCTTTTTTCACATCTGCTGCTGCTGCTGCTGCTGCTGCTGCTGCTGGAGCTTCTGCTGCTGCTGCTGCTGCTGCTGCTGCTGCAGCAGGGCCTTTGCTGCAGCGCAGCAAATACCCCACAAGCCTGCATGCGCCTTGCATGCGGCCCTCAGGAGAAGCAACAGGAAGTTCCCAAAAGAGGTCCAGGAGGCCCTTGGGGGCCCCCCCGGGGGGCCCCCCGGGGGGCCCCCTTGGGGGCCCCACAGGGGCCCCCCGGGGGGGCCCCCCGGGGGGGCCCCCCAGAGGCTGTGGGGCCCTTTTTGGCATTTTGGATGCAGCAAAAAGAAAAGAATTGGAAAAGGAGCTGCTGGAGGTCTAGAAGGCAAAAAGAAGAAAAGTTATTTCATTATTTGGTTGGGAAATTGGAAAAGAAAAAGAAAGAAATAAATGAAAGTCTTGCGGAGAAAAGGGAAGGAAAAGGTGGCCAAAAAGAGAGCCAGGAGGCTAGAAATGAGGCCTCAAAAGCTAGGGTTTAGGGTTTAGGGTTTAGGGTTTAGGGTTTAGGGTTTGGGGGCTTCTTGCCCCACAGGGAGGCCAGTGGGTTAGCTGTTTTTTGGCCGCGAAAGAAAACAATTATTTATTTTGGAGTTTAAAATAAATTTAAAAAGATAAGAGAGGCGCAGAAGGCGGGAGAAAGCGGAGAAAAAAGAAAGGCAAAGCAGCAGCTAATTTGCATGCAGCAGGAGTTCTCGAGAGTTCCGATTTGTGCAAAAGCGGCTGATCTTTGGAGGAAAAGGTGTCTGTACACCTCAAAAAGGATTTATTTATCTTTTTAAATCAAATAAGATATTGATTTTCGCGAAAAGAATTATTTTAATCCGCGATTTGCAGCAGGAGCTGCTCGCTGCGCAAAGTCGCAGCAGCAGCCCCGGCTGCGGACCTACAGCTGCTGCTGACGGCCTCTCACGCTGAGACCCCAGTTTTGAACAAATATTTGCATTTTAAATGATTTGAATGAACTCGGGAGTTTCGCAACTGCTGGGCAGACACTCCACGGTTTCGGGTGTACGTACACCTCGACGGCGGCGGCTCTGTTCGGCGCCTGCATGCGCGAACTTGGGGTGTATAGGCAGCTCTTTGGGCCGTTTCGACGGTTAAAATCTTTTCTTTTCGACTTTTCTGCAAAGCATTTGCAAAAAGGAGCCTCTGGGGCGCAGTAAAACGCGAAAAGACTGAGTTTTAGCCCCTGCTGCAGCCGCTGCTGCTGCCGCTGCTGCTGCTGCTGCTGCTGCTGCTGCTTTCCCGCAGCCCCTGCGGAGCCCTGGGGTGTACGTACACCGCGGAACAGCGAAAATGAGCCGCGACCAGCAGCTGCAAACTTCCTGCACTTCTGTTTATAATGATTACAAACTTTGTCTCAGCAGCTCCAACAGAAACCCGCAAAAGTGCCAAGACTTTCTTCCTTCCCTCCGCTCTTGCGAGAAAAGGTGATTTCACTGCCGCCGCTCTTCCTCGCGGTTGGGCCGAGGGTTTAGGGTTTAGGGTTTAGGGTTTAGGGTTTAGGGTTTGGGGTTTGAGTCTCGTTGAGTTTGGGGCAGAAGAGATATAGATGAAGCAAAAGCAAAGCAAATAAACAAACAATTAAATCAAATCAAATTAATTAAATCAAATTAAAGTAATTAGTTCAATTAAATCAAATAAAAGAAGGTAAAATAAAATAAAATAAAATAAAATAAAATAAAATAAAATAAGTTTTATTTCTTTTATTTGCATGCAGTTTGAAAGTCTCTTACTGCATCAACGAGACCCAAAATTTGATGAACTGCGCGAGGTGAGGCTTTTCATTTTAATTAAATTAATTTAAATTCATTTTTATTTTTGTTTTAATTTTTTTAAAATGTTTTTCCATTTGTTTGTTTTGTTTTAATTCATTTAAATTAGTTTCTTGTGTTACTTTAATTCTTTTAAATTTATTTTATTTGTTGTTTTACTTTTATTTGTCTTTCTTTTCGTGCAACACCAAATAGCCCCTCTTCGAGATATTTGTTTGTTTTGTTTTATTTAATTTCATGTTTGTCCGTTTAAATTGTTTAAATTTCAACAAATGATTAAAAGTCAACAAATGATTTAAATGTCTTTCATTTCATTTAAATTTATTTCAAAACTCATCTGCAAACATGCATCTGTGTGTGCACATTTGAGGTGTACGTACACCCGGTGGCCGTGACTTTGCGTTCTTTCTGTCGCGTTTTTTCGCGCGAAAGTGCCGTTTAAAACATTCAAAATGAGGCCATTAAAAGCCGTTTAAAACATTCAAATAAAGGCCATTAAAAGGCACTAAAGGCGGCTCATAAAGGGAAATAAAGCTGCATTTAAAGCTGCATTTAAAGCTGCATTTAAAAGGAAGGTGACCACTGGTCCTGACCACTGGTCATGCCGCGCAGGAAACCCGACCGCAACGTCTGCGCCAAAGAATTCATCTTGATGAGAGAATGCAACAGACCCGGGGGCCCCCAGTTGTTAATAACAAATGAGGGCAGGGGGGCCCCCCGTTATGAGATTAACCCAAGTCATTTGCCCCTTTTTAACTCCATTTCCGCGGACTTGGGGCCCGCGGAGGCCCCCAAGAGAGACAGAAAACGCATGCAGTCTCTTATTCAAGAAATGAAAAAAGAATTTAATGCAAAAGCCTTCGACTTCGTTCCCTACAAGTTCGAGTCCTTTCGCCCCAACCCCGGCAAGTGACCTCGGGTGTACGTACACCGCAAAGAGGCGAAGCAGGAAAGGTTTCGCCACTTTGTGCGGTGTACATACACCCGAGAAACGGCAAAAACAAGAACATTTACTGCTGCAAAAAAAAACAAAAGTTCTCATTCAAAAATTCCAACAAAAACGACAAAAATCCGCAAAAGTGAAGACCCAGGCCGCCGCCGACGCTCCGGTGTACAGGCAGCTCGGGTGTACGTACACCTCAAGTCCAGCGCTGGGGTGTATAGGCAGCTAAAAGCAGCCAATTGAGCAGCAGCAGCAGCAATCCAGAAAAGCCGCTTTCGCGAAAACAACTAAAACTCCAAAAGACCTTTTTACTTTTGTTTTTACTTCTATTATTAATTCCACTTTTCCGGATTTGGATAGCCCAGTTTCCTCTCTTAGAACAATTAGAGATATATATATTTATATATAGTTTCCTCTCTTAGAACAATTAGAGATATATATATTTATATATATTTAATATATTTGTGCATATATATATATATGCATTTATTCATGCATTTACAAGTGCATTTATATAATCGCAATAGATTTACAGCTAAGAAGCACACTTGCTTATTGTGCTTGTAGGCTGTACGTACACCCCATTGGGGCTGATTGCATGCATGCAAATTAATTTATTGAAATCTACTAAAGCTTTCTGTATGTGCTCAATAGATTTGTATATATACATTATATATATATATATATATATATATATATATATATATATATATATATATATATAAAATATATATAACATATATATATGGACTACAAATGTTTGGAATATATATAATTAAATATACTACATAATTAAATTCTAAAAAGGGAATGTTCTATTTATATATAATGCGTATGCTTAAATGTGTACTATAAATATTCAATATATATATTAAAGACATTATATGAAAGAGAAATAGAATAAATATGTAATTATATATATATACTATATATATAATGCGAACTATAAATATTATTTATTTGTACTTCGAAGGCTTCCAAAAATAATTCGGTTGCACACAAACGCCCAACGATACACCTAAGCACAAAGGTCCCCGTAAGTAGCAGAAGCAGCAGCAGCACCGGCAGCAGCAGCAGCAGCAGCAGCAGCAGCAGCACCGGCAGCAGCAGCAGCAGCAGTCGCAGCAGCTGTCGAGGCAGCAGTCGCAGCGGCAGTGAACAACAGGAGTTACAGTAGCAGCAGCAGCACCACACCAATAACTGCACCACCAGCAGCAGTAGGAACTGCATCACCTGTATCGGCAGCAGCAGCAGCAGCAGCAGCAGCAGAAGCAGCAGCAGCAGCAGCAGCAGAAGCAGCAGCAGCAGAAGCAGCAGCAGCAGCAGCAAAAGCTCCAGCAGCAGCAAGTTTTGAAATCCTTATTACCTAAATGTAATTAAGTGGTAAAGCACTTTAAATAATATTTATATAGTTATATAGTATTTTCATACTACAAAAATGCATGCTTAGAAATGCATGCAAAGAAAGCCCCGCAAGCAGCAGCAGCAACTGTCCAAAAGAGAAGTTGCAACAAATAAAATGTGAGATTAATCTACAATAAATTATTTTATTTTTTGAAGTTAGCCTAAAGTTTGATGCAGATTATAATCTGCAATAAAGTACCATTTCTTGTTCAGATTAATTAATTTGAAAAAACAACAAATAAAATAAACAAAATCTCATTTATAAAGTACCTTCTGATTCTAATAATATAAATTCAGCGAATCGCCAGTATTGACTATTTGGGAACTAATTATTAAAATTCACTTGGCCTATTAAATAATTAAATAAAATGTTCCAAAGGCATCCGCAGTTATTTTTTTGAATTAAACATTTAAATAAATAAATTAAAATTGTTAAATTCAAAAACAAACAGTTACGCACTTCCGCTAGACTGCCATTTGCCTTCTAGCGGCCACAAAGCGCCGTTTAGGAAATTACGCTGAGTCCAAAAAGTGGAATTTTAAAGAAATTCGAAGCCCCGGAGCAGCAGCTCCCAATTAAACATTATAAATATATAAATAAAATAAATATCTATTTATATATCCGCGAGAATTATTTGTTTCGGGATTTTTTCTGGCTAATTCAATTCTGACCAATCTCGAGGCGGAGGCGCATGCATTGCAAGTTCGGGTGTACGTACACCCCAGCAGTCGCTGCAGCCGTTTCCAATTTCTTTTGCCACTTCGCTTTTGCACTTGCATGCAATAGACGACACATTTATATAATTTTATGAATATAAACATGAATTTATATTTTAAAATTATTTATTCTGCATATATACTCATTTATATCTACAAAAGTTCACAGCACCCCCACGCCCGCCTGTTGCACTCGATGGTCCGGCGTTGTATAGCTGCAGATATATATAATTTATAGTTTATAAATGTGCATAAATAAATAAATATAAATATAAGCACAAATATAAATACAAATATAAATATATATATCCACAACACCTTAGTTTGCATGCACGCGCAGAGTCTGTACACCTCCGCACTGCATGAACACCTGTAATTACAGTAGATATGCAGAATATTATTTATGTACATCCACAATGCGTTACACATTAATATTTATGTTTACATTCATATTTAAATTTGGATTTATATTTATATTTATATTTATTTACTTATGTCCTTCGCATGCAGTGTCTATGCTGCACCAGTGCCTCTTGTGCTGTACGTACACCCGGGAGCAGCAGCTCTTTGCCGCTGACAAACCCCTCACACCTCACAGCAGCAAACAACACATAAACAAATAATAAACAAATTAATTATTTCATTTATTAATCACGTCCTCCCCCTTCGCCAGAGACGCTAACGGGAACCCTCCTGCTGCACCAAAAACGCCCAGTCAGCTGCAGCAGCAGCTGCTGCTGCTGCGGCACTAGAGCTGCAGCAGCAGCTGCTTCTGCTGCTGCTGCGGCGGCAGCTGCTGCTGCAGCTACTCCTGCTGCTGCTACTGCTACTTCAGCAGCAGCTACTGCTGCTGCTACTTCAGCATCAGCTGCTGGCGCTGCTGCTGCTGCTTCTGGTGCTGCGGTCGTGTCCGGTGCTGCTGCTGCTTCTGCTGCTGCAGGACATGCAGCAGCTGCTGCTGCTTGTCGGCTGCTGCTGCAGCTACAGCGCATCTTCTAGTTTGAGTTCTCTAGGCGGCCCTTGCTGCTGCGGACCCTCTGTCTGCTGCCCGCGCTGCTGCTGCTCGCTGCCGTCTTGCTGCTGCTGCTGCTGCTCCCGCTGCTGCGGCTCCAGGGCGTCCTCAAGCTTCAGCTCGCCGCTTTCTTCTGCTGCTCCTGCTGCTGCTGCTGCTGCTGCTTCCTCGGGGTCATGCATGCCATCCCCGAAGAGGTCATCTCGAACTTCATCATCAGTCTTTGAAAGACTTCTCCAAGCACTTCCCAGCCTCTTCCCCAAGTTACTTGCTGTTTTTTTGGCCTTCTTTTTGAAATTACCAAATGCACCTTTTACCCCCATTTTTAGCTGCTGCACTGCAGACTGCCCCCTTTCTTTCCACTCCGCCAACTTCGCCTTTAAGTCCTCTAAATGGCTATTTGCTGCTTTCTTTGTGTCATCCCAGAAGGCCTTAGCGTCTTCTGCACTTGGGGGGGTTGCTTCATCTTCTTCGGGCTCGTCAGACTCGTGCTGCTGCTGCTGCTGCTGCTGCTGCTGCTGTTGCTGCTGCTGCTGCTGCTGCGCGCTGCTGGCGCTGGACGCGGCCGCAGAGCCCGTCTGCAGCAGCGCTGCAGCACCCTCCCCACCCTCAGCAGCTAATACTGCCTTTTGGAGTTCTTTAATTTTATTTTCTTCTTTTTGCAAAAATCCCGAAAAAGCTGTCTTCACTTCTCCCTCCAGCTGCGCAGCAGAAACAGCCCCCGAAGCCACCCGCTGCTGCAGCTCGGCAAAGGCCGTGGCCTCGTCTTCCTCCAAAGAGGTCGTGTTCAGCTTGTCAGCAACAGCAGCAGCAGCAGGCGCAGCAGCAGCAGCAGCAGCAGCAGCAGCAGCAGCAGTCTCCGCATGCAGCTGCGCAGCACTGGCCCCTGGGGGCTCCATGGCCCCCTGGGCTGCCCCCAAAAAGCTGCGGGCCACGGCGTGAGAGCCATGGGCCAAAAAGATAACAAAAATGGAAGTTTTGAGAGCGGCCCCAAGGCCGGCTCTCCAGCTGCAAGAAGGCGCCCCCAGCCGCGGCATTGTGGCTCTTTTTGTCTTCAACTTGGCGCTAAAAGCAGCTCAATTAACCTCCAGCTGTCGCTGAACGCGGGGGGAGGAGTGGAGGGGAAGCAGCAGCAAATTCTGCACGCACAGCAGCAAAAAAGCAGCAAAAAGCAGCAAAAATGGACCTTTCGAGGCAGTGCACGGAAAGCCGTGCACTCTGCAAAGTTCAAACGCGAAAAATGCATGCAGGGGCAGATAGCCGAGGTGTACGTACACCCGAGCGCAGCAGCAACGCCACAAACGCACAACATAAGACACGGCTTGCACGCGGAGGGAAAGGCCACTTCGTGGCTGCTTCCACACTTATTAAATCCAATTTGCGAATTGTGAACTCCATAGAGAATTAAAGAAAGAAAGAATGCAAAAAGTGCAACACAGAGGCCCGAACTAACTGCAGCACCCGCGGCGAGCGGCGGCTCCTCCTGCGAGGACGAAAGCGGGGTTTTAACCCACCTATCGGAGGGCTTCTGGGGTCCAAAACGGCGAAATTGAATAAATAATGAAATTATTATTCAATAAAATATAAAAACTATGCACTGGGCCGCCCCGCAAGCGCATACACCCGAAGAAGCCCGCGGGAAGCTGGGGTTGCTGGGCGGTCTGGACTGCGGGGGCGAGGCGGCGCGCGAGCTCTCTGAGCTGCTTTTTGGGTCTTTTTTCTCGTTTTTTGTCCTTTTCTTTGCTTTTTAAAACACTTTCACCATTTAATTTAGATGAGAATCAAATAGAGCGTCTTTTGCACTATTTACACACACCGCCGAGCCTCCAGTGGCTCTCGAGCAAGGTCACGCCCGCACCGAACCCCTGCGTGCTGCTGCTGCTTGCCCGACTTCTCGTTTGCTGTGCAGCTTTCTGTGTTTTTGCAAAACTCTTTATTTAAATTAATAAAAATCAATTTTAATTTGCAAATTTATTTCGTTTTTGCTGTCTACTTCGCCCAGTCGCCGCGGGGAGCTGCAGTGCACCAGTGGTCCACTGAGCCCGTGCCAGGCCGGGCAACTTGTGAAGAAGACAGATCTGCACATTTTGCGAAGTTTTCTGGAAGCACAATTGCCTACTGTAATGAAAACTTATTAATTTTATTTCACTTTTAATTAATTATTCTTAATCCACCCTTTTTTCCTCCAAAGAACACTCTTTTTTTAGAAAATACCCCCCACTGCAGCAAGCCCCCTGTTGCGCCCAAAAGAAACAGTTCTTGCTGCTCTGGGGCCCCGCAGCAGCAAATTCAGCAGCAGCAGAAGGCAGCAGCAGACAGCAGCAGCAGCAGGCAGCAGCAGAAGGCCGTCGGGGCTTCCGGCTAGCTGCTCTTGCGCAGCAGCAAAAGCCCACTTGTAGATCTGTTTGCTGAGGCTCCAAAGAAACACAAGGACAAACAAAACTCGAAAATCTCACTGAGACAAAAAACATTCAAAAAGAACTTCTGCTGCACCTAAGTTTAAAATTGCTGCGTTTTTACCTTCGCCCAAGTATCCTACACAACATGCACATCCTGCAGAATAATCCGTAGTAATAGATATATATATATATAAAGATATATGCATATATACTTTTATTATTAGGGCTTAGAGTCTAGGGTTTAGGGTTTATCGACAGAGTCTAGGGTTTAGGGTTTACCGACAGAGTCTAGGGTTTAGGGTTTACCGACAGAGTCTAGGGTTTAGGGTTTAGGCTCACAGGTGCAAGTGCCTCGCAGCTTGCGTTTATTCGACAGGTTTTTGAAATATTAAAAATTGACTTTCATTCCAAGTTCAAATTTAATAAATAGAAAATATGCATTAAATGCATTAAATGCATTAAATGCATTAAATGCATTAAATGCATTAATGCATTTAATGCATTTAATGCATCACATGAAACAAAGCTCCAATAAAAAGACAAAGTGTGGCAAACAAAACGGCGCATGCATTTAAATGCATTTCAAATGAAAATAAATAATTCTAAAAGTACTTTTCTAGGTGTACATACACCGGAAACATGCACACTGCCGCCTCCGGTGTACATACACTGCAGCTAACTCTCTGCCTAATGGTATTTAAATCAAATCCAATTTCTTTTCTGTTTGCAAAAAGACAAAAAGACACAAACTAGAAATACATATACAAGTCCGACTTCTAAGGCAGCTGCAGCTCAGCAGTGACAACCAGGGGGGCCCCCGGGGGCCCCCCGGAGGCCCCTAAAGACCCCCTGGGGGCCCCCGGGGACCCAGGGGCCCCCAGGGGGCCCCCCAAGGACCCCCAAGGACCCCCCGGGGGCCCCCGGGGGCCCCCGGGGGCCCCCAGGGGCCCCTGAGAACCCCAGCAACAGGCCCAGAGAAAAGCTGCTTCTCTTCTGCTGCTGTTTGCATGCGCAGCGCCCTAGAGGCGAATACAGTTGAGGAAGTTGAAAGGTATTTGTGGGGCTGCGAGCAGTGCAGGAGATTTGGCTATGGCGTGGGTTAGTCCTAGAGGGAAAGGAGCAGCAGCTGCGCTGCAGCAGCAGCAGCAGCAGCTGCCGCTGCTGCTGCTGCAGCCGCTGCTGCTGCCGCTGCAGCAGAGCGCCCCGCTGCTGCTGCTGCTGCTGCTGCAGCAACCGGCGGGGCAGCAACCTGCAAAATCATAAAAGCTGCGCCGCAGGCAGCAGCAGACTGGTGACCAGTGGTCCACTGGCCCGCCCGCGGGCTGTACGTACAGCGGAAACTAAGTGCAGCAGCAGCTCCAGCTGTACGTACAGCTGAAGCCTGCGGAAAGAAATGCAAAAAGAAACAATTCAAGTTCTGGCAGCCAAGGCCTCGACACTTTGTGATGGAAAAGTAAAAGTGATCAAACTGCTTCGTTCCCCATCTTCGCGTGCCGCCTGACGGCGCCAGCTGTATGTACACCCCAACCTCTGCTGCGCATGCCTCCCCCCAGCCGCCGGCTGCAGCAGCAGCAGCAGCAGCAGCAGCAGCAGCAGCAGCAGCCAACACGCGCAATTGGATTTTCTAGGGCTTTTTTTCTCCATATATTTGCGGCCTCTGGGGCACAACGCAGCAGCAACTCGCCGCCGCTGCAGCAGCAACTTGCTGCTGCAGCACCAACAACTTGCTGCTGCATCCACATGTCTGCAGCAGCCCCACAATGTAAGACGCCTCGGCCGCATGCGCTGCTGTGCAGCTTTCCTGCTGCATCCGCTGCTGCTGCAGTCCTTGTTAGCGTCTGCCGCTGCTGCTGCTGCTGCTGCAGCACCCCTCTGCTCCCGCTGCTGCAGCAGCAGCAGAAGCAGCAGCAGCAGCTGCTGCTGCTTCAGTCTCCCATAGGCGGTTGCAGCAGCAGCCGCAGCAGCTGCTGCTGCTCCACTCTCCCTAGACAGCAGCAGCCGCAGCCAGAGCCGCAGCCGCAGCCGCAGCAGCAGCAGCAGCAGCAGCAGCAGCTGCTGCTGCTGCTGCTGCTGCTGCTGCTGCTGCTGCTGCTGCTGCTTCAGTCCCCCCTAGGAAGCTGCAGCGAAGCCTCAGAACTGTCAGCAGCCCCCTTGAGGCGGGCCACGAGGCGCTCGAGGTCCACCAACTTCCAAGAAGGAGAATTTCCCCTTTCCCTTTCGCTGCGTTTGGCTCTCCTGCGAAGGAGGTAATAGCCCACGCTTTTGCGGGGCAAGTCGCCGTGGAGGGCGTCTTCGGGGGCTGCTTTGCAGGGGATTCTGCTGCTGCTGCTGCTGCTGCTGCTGCAGCTGCTGCAGCTGCTGCAGTTGTCGCTGAGCGCGGACGCGCGCGACGCCGGGTCTGCCGACGCACCGGGTGGGTCCCGCTCTTCCTCTGCTGCTGCTGCTGCTGCTGCAGCAGCAAACAGGAACAGAAGCAAACGCAGCAACTCCATGTTCAACTTCGTACCCGCGGGAAGCGCGCGACTCGACGAGACCAACCCGCGCGGAACCGGCGCCAGACAGCAGTATTCTCGAGACAATAAGAGGACTCGGATGTTTCAAATTGAATTTAAATCTTTTGAGAAGAAGTCTGAACGCGAGATAAGCCCAAACGGAAGAAAACAACAGACTGCCTACACACTGCGGGCGATCGCAGGACTTCCGTGGCGAGCGGGAGCAGCCAGAAACTTCCAAGCTCACTTCTTCGGCAATTTAAATCTTGAAATGTTCTTCAAAGCATTTGAAAACAAATTGAAACGCCAAAGAGAACTTTTAGTCGAGGAAAAACTCCTTCGCCTAGCCACGGACAAGACAGGCTTCCAGACCCACTGGTGAGTGGCGGCTGCTGCTGTTTCTAGCCTTTGCGGGCTTTGCAAACGCACAGTTCACGTTCCTGCAGCAATAACAACAAAAAAAATAATATTTTCCAATTAAAACCCGAGCTTGTAGGTTCTTTAATTGAGTTGTATCTTCTTTCCGCCTTGGGGGGCGCTGGGCGTGGCTCTGGGTGGCACAACGTTGAGGTGCTCCCACTAGATCAAATACCACCGAGCTCGTGGACTTACCTCGTTCTTCTAGTTGTTCCCGTGGATGTTTCGAGTTTTATTTGTGTAGAGTTTTATTTTTGCTGCTTTTTTATTCCCGGGGAGCCCCCAATAACCCCGATTCGCTGCTCAGGGTTTCTGCACTGAGTCACTAGCCCGTGCTGGTTCGGCTAACAAGCCCCGCTTTACACGGATCTCTCAGTTTGACATTTCAGAACAAACAGCACTAGTTCTAAGAGGGCCAGAAGCTCTCATTGAAGACACCAGAGGCGCCTTAAATGCCCCGCAGCCTTGCGCCTGTGCGCACTTACCACTAGGGAAGCTGGAGTGGTTCAAAAAGCAGCAGTAACTCAACGCTGAAGCTCAGTTAACTCTGCACTAAAGCTTTCTAATTAGTGTTCACATAGTGCAGCCTTTGGCGAAATGTTTTTGGCGGATCGAACCGCAAGAACTGCCCACACCTTCAACGCTCATGCAAGAAAGTTGAACTTACTACTGGCTCGCGTGCTTCTGTGCTGCATGGACATTCCTCGCGTGTTGTTGTTCTTCGGTAACTTCTAAAGGATTTTTTTTCCCCTTAATTGCTTTCCCTATTGGAGATTTTTTTAACGTTTTTGCTGCGCCGATCCCCTCTTGGTGCTCTGTGGCTTTCTCTCGCACAGCCAGCGTGGGGGGCGCCCAGCTGAAGGTGGGGGCTTTCTTTATTCTGTTTTTCAAACTCATAGCTTTATCACCACACGCTGAATGGATTCTGTTAGCTGGTATAGGCAGTCAGGCCTTCAATTAGATGGCTGGCTGCATGTAATTATTTATCATGTATTGCTTGTTGGCATTTGTTTGCCTTGCCATACACTTTGCCTTCCAGGCGACTCCATAGAACAGTGCCACTGGTCCAGAAGCGAGCTTTATCAACTGCTTAATGCTTGCTTTTATCTAGCACGAAACAAAATAGTTGTACTTCTTCGTAAGGCCTCAAATATGCTGCCGCGTCTCAGGCTTCTTCCAGGTGCTGCGGCGTAAGGGAGGCAAATATTCTTAATGATGAGAAGGGCAAATATGAGAAGATGCCTCTAGCATTTTTTCGAAAGAAGGATACTATAAGGCAGCCTTTGTGCTGCTCTAAGCCACTTGAAAAAGGATTAGTTATCTTCAGGGGAAAAGTGTGTATGAATTTGATTGCTAGACTTTCGCCGAAAAAGCTGAGTTCATATAAAGCGGTGCTCGAGCACGCCTGTCCATATATTCACAAAAATACAAATGTACTTGAATGCACTCAGTTGAAAGATAAACTGCAGTTCACAGAGTAGGCCTCAAGCAACCAGCCCACGGGCCTCTCTACACTCTGCACTACAGCCTCTCTAGCGATCCCTGAAGAGAGAACGCGCAGCGAGAGGCCGACTAATGACTCATTTCTCATCTTCTGACTTCTCCACAAGTGCTACTAAGAAGCACTTCACTTACTATTAAGAGCGGCGGGAACCCGTCATTAAGGTTGTAAGCAGTGAGACCTGCTCAGGGTTCAATGCAGCATTTGGCTGCCAAGAGTTTTCGAGTTTTGTTCGGCAAGTTGGAAAAAGAACGAGGTTTTTCTTGTTATGACAAGACTTGAGGTCGCGCAGTCCTGTTCTTAGCCGCTGTTAAAGAGCGTGGGTCATGAATAGTGCTTTGAACCATCTCCATATCACGCTGGTTTCAAACGGCTGTCCTCTGTACATATCTGGGACTTCGAATTTTTCTTTCTAAGCTGCATGAGCCCGACTCGTCAGAGGCTTTTTCGCAGATAGCCCAGCATGATAAATGTGCAAAGAGAAAACTAGGAACACTGTGCTTGAGCAGCTGCAAAACGAGCTGCGAAGTTTGCACTGCTTAAGGTGCTGTTGCGCGTATGCGCTGGGCTGCAAGAGTAGCAATTAAAGCTTGCTAAGTATGTTTTAAACAACTCTGGGGTGCAGCCTAAACATCTACGTATTTATGGCGCGCGCCTAAGACGGAGAAGGCTTAAGAGGTTTATGTCTTCGAATTACCCCAAACCCTAAACCCTAAACCTAAATCCCTAGACCCTAAACGCTAAAAGCTAAGGAGTCTAGGGGAAGCTGACGCCGGCAATGCAGAAAGGTCCACAGTGGTCTCTTTCTCTGAACAAGCCAGGCTATATCTCTGTAAACTATGTGCATAAGTTGATGCCTTCTTGGGTTTACTAAACTTCTAGAGTAGGGGGCTGTGGCCGTTCTTAGTTGAGGCGCTGCAGTAGCAAGCTGCACTGTCTGTCTATCTTGGCAGGAACAGTGGCCGAAAACTGCGCGGGAAATTCGACGAAGTTTTTCCAAGTTTCCTGCGCTGCTGTTTAGCTGAAGTTAGCATTATGGAGCGCCTATTGCCGCTGTGCTCTTTTGTTTTACTGCCCCACTATTGCCATCACCTGTCCCTCTGCTATTTTTACGAAGACAAACTTAGCACTAACAAAAGCCTCTTCTTGAGGCACTGCTGTGCGTTTTGAGTTGTTATCTGTTTGCTCCCTGGTGTCAGCATGGGATTATGTGACCTTGTAGAAAACCGAGCCGTTTGAACACAGAACAGAACGAAAGTTGTAGGGAATCAAGACAGCAAGCTTAAGAAGCAAGGAAATACAAACAGCAATGTGTCGAGACAATTACAACGCGCCTTCTACAATGTGCACGCTCTGACCCAGGCTGCATTGGGCTGAAAACGAACGAAAAGCCGTGCATGTGTGCATTTCCGGCTCGAACTGACGGAAATTTCTGTGAAAATGTGAAAGCATTCCAGGGGAAGGTGAGGAGCAAGCATGCCTGAACTTTGTGTAATCCGCATGCATCGCTGCACTGGGATTATACAAAGTTCACGACAGCCCTCAGCAACGTTCCGGATCGCCCCCTGTGGATTTTTCATTAATTGCAAAGCTTCGCAGCAAGCCGCTCCCTAGAAAAGGAAGTCTTTGAGACTTTAAAAAGGTAAGAGCAGACGCTTCCAGTGAACCCCTGGCTGGAGAGAAAGCCTTCTCGGAGAGTGTAGATGAATCCTTTGGCTAACTGCTAGAGGGGCATCTTCTTCAGCTCGTACCTATTTAGGACTCGAGTATACAAAGTGGATTCGCAACGACACAATAGACTACGAACCTGTTTTCTACCCTACCCTACCGTAGCTACCAGAGAATTCTAAGGGACACATTCTCAGCAAACAAACGCAAGGCACCAAATTTTTCTGTGGATATCTACCATTCATGGTTTCTGTAATCAAACTACTGAAGAATGGGTATTAAACTGAAATGACAGCTCTTCAGGCAGAGGCATCTGTCGTGGGCTACTGTTTGATAGCTTGAGATAATAAAGCGATGCGGGGAAAAAGGCTTGCAGTTTCATCAGCTTCGTAATTCTAACGTTTTCCGTTGTATCCCAGCCTCGTAGTCCTTGGCCAGCTTGTCGAAAAAATAAAACAATGCGCTCCTTGACCCCGATCCTATATCACGAGACGCCGGGTAAAGCCCACGAATTATACCGTCTTCAATTTCCATATTGATACCCCTCGTAGGCGGTGTTCGCTGTCATCTAAGCCGTTCAACCCACTCATATTTTCAGTAGAACACAACGTATTCTTTCATGGTCTTCAAAGTTGCAGAATCAGTAATCTTAGTCTGTGCTCGCTCTTTCTTTCTGCAGCGGCGCCAGCGGTCCCGCCGTCTCAGTCGTCTGGCCATTCCCCGTGCAAGCCTCCGTAATCTGGCTGGTGCCCACAATCATCGCCTGCGGTGCATCTGCGAAGAATCGCTTCATGAAAAAGGCCCTTATGCTCATGCTACTCTATGTGTTGGCACTGTGGTGCTAGTTTGGTGAGGATCTGACGAATTCGCAGCAGTCTTTTGATGCTCTCAGCCCTCTTGTATGTTCCAGCTCCCACAAAATGTTCTTCACTCTATAATGGTGCCTTGCTGCGTCGTGCTGCACATCCTGCTGCTTTCGCCATTCACATGGACCGTCTCTCCTGTCTACTCAGCTATTTCATTCAATCCATCTGACGGATAATCTTTAGGTCCCATTTCTGGCAAGGGATCGCTTTGGGGTGCTCGTGATGCTGATTGTCTGGGAAGGCTTGCAGAAATACTGCATGGCATCCAATTTTTGTGTGAGTTGCTTTCTGGCTCCATGCATCACTCTGTAATGCCATAAAATGACATCACCCATGTGTGGCTGTCGTTGTACCCCATTCACCCCGTGGGAAGAATTAAAACGGTGAAAACCTTTGTTGAAGGCCAAATTTGAAAGCGTTGCATTAAATCATTAACACTACAGCACAGGGGACCGTTTCTGCGTTTGAAAAATTATAACGCTAGTTGACATCTCGGCTGCGTCTTCAACAACCACCAGCATTCCAGCTCCTCCAACTGGGCGATTTCATCGCAAATTGCACATACCTGTCTTCAAATATATCACTATTTTCGCCTTCCCCCTTCCATTCCCGACTGGGTGCGTCTCCGATGGAAGCGAAGGCGGGCAGTGGCGGGCCAGCTAAGGCCTTGCATCCCACCTAGCGCATTATCCTGGATCACTCGCTTTCTACCGAGGATCAGTGTGAGACTTCACGCCTTCATTTAGATTTATGTAGATCTGCGCAGCGTATCCTCAGTTTTAGTAACAGATTCCTGGCCTCTTCATTGGCTGCGCGTTCCTCGATCAGCTGACACCTCCAAAGCGCAACCGTTAGTGAAACATACGACAATATTGAGCAAAAGTTTACTAAAATGACCTGGCCACGCTCCCTGGCTTTGGGCCTACCTCTTTTCATTCAAATCAATGGCTACGTGACTGTGCTATGCGAGAAAGTGTAGTACAATTCGCAGAATCCTACACTGCGGTTCACCAAGCCCTCGCTCTCACAAACCATTTATACGCGATGACGACAATGCAACACCGTCAGGCAATCCTTTATAAAGCTCTACAAGGAGTACAAACGTGCCGTTTGGAGCCGGCTCGTAAAGACAAGTCTCACCATCTACTGCCTGGGGACGGTTAATATGGTGATCAACAGCCTACTGCGTGTGCTGCAGCACTGTGAAAGCATTCTTGCCTAATGGAGGAGGCAGAATTAAACATGATAAATCAGTTTTGTAGAAGAAGACCGGTGCAAAGGCTGTGCACTGGTGGCTGTCGCTGACAAGGATGGAGTTCACCAGTTGGGGCTGGCTAGACCGGAGTTGCAGTTAGGATAAGGAATACAACTGAATTTTCTACGGTTTGCCGCAAGAGTGTGGGACAAGGCAACGGCTTGTGTTAGAATTACATAATGTGCGTCCAGACTTGAGGCGGAGGATCTCAACGCCGTTCTTAATTTGCAGCAGAAGTCTGTTTGGCCGCAACTGCTGCCCAAGAGGACCCTCTGGGCCAAAATTCCATCTTCTGGGAGATGCTGTTGGCCTTGAGAACGTACTGACTCCTGATTCAGGTCGGGATTCCGCCGAAATAGCGCCAGCGTTCGTCCCAATATGCAGGTCCAGCACTTCACTCCGTTGGATTCTCCGCGACCGTGCTGCGTCATTCATCTCAAGGACGTCGTTTATTGTTCTAGACAACAGTCCTCATTGGCACCTGGCCTTGGAGAGAGCCCTGCTGGCCCTAGCGTCATTCAGCAGTACGAGGACTGTTCGGTGTACTTGAGTTATAATAGCCGGCGTTCCACGCCAATTGGGAAGCCGTAGCATAATTTTTTGGCTGCGGGTTAGCGGCGCAAATCCAGTGGGGAAATATATATCTGTTTTTGTTCCGTAGTGTATGGTGGCCGTTACACGCGTGAAATTTGAATCACCGTGAAATCTGCGGAAAGCTACAGGGATTGCTGCTGGGCCACAAGGCAGCGATTCTTATTGACATAACGCACCATATAATTGGTGGACTGGCACCAGACAAGATGGGGATCAGCCGGTTTTATCGGTGGCTCTCGGAGCGGTACCCGCTCATAAACGAGAAGATTGATGCCGCCTCAATCCCCACCTTTGACAACTTGTATTTAGACATGAATGGGATTCTGCACAATTGCAGTCATGGGAACTCAGGCAAGAACATAATGAAGGGCTGCGAGCGCTGCAGTGCAAAATAGGAAAGGACACAGACTCTGGTGCAAGGGGCGGTAGCTGATTGGTGTGTTTCTTGCTTATGGCCGCGCTGCTAAGCCCACTGAGCTGCCTTTTTAACAGATCTTTATGTATTTGTTTATCCTTGGTGTCTGTTTGCAGGGGGCATGCTGCACAGAAACGAAGATGTGATGTGGCAGTCCGTCTTTGCAGCCTTAGACCTTGTTATTTCAACTATATCACCTCGCAAGCTTTTATACCTTGCGGCTGATGGCGTCGCTCCTCGAGCGAAAATGAATCAGCAGGTAAAGCCTCCGCCACATTCGACCTTCAGAGCAGTCACTAGTAATAGCCTTCATTCCTTTTCCAGTGCATTTCCTCTCGAAGAAAGCAGCATTTGCTCTGCGGGGCAGTTGCTGCTACTGCTACTGCTGCTGCTGTTGCTGTGGATTACTGTGGCTTAGCGTGCTCGCCGCTACAGAGCCGCCAAGAGCGCAGATGAAACAGCTGAGGCCCAAGAGAGGCAACGCCTTGCGGAGTTGAGAGCTGCCGAAGCCCGTGGGGCCCAAGAGGCAACTTGCCCTGCAGAAGAAAGTGCTTCTAGTGAATGGACTACAGTAGAAGGCCGCAGGTCGAGTTCGCAGAAAACGGGACCGCAGGCGCCGGCGAGATTCGACAGCAACTGCATTTCCCCGGGCACAGAGTTCATGGCTTCCTTCTTCCGCCATCTCCGCTTTTATTGCGAGAAAAAGTTCGAAGAAGACACGCGGTGGAGAGGCTTGAAAGTCCTGCTGTCTGGCCCTGATGTGCCGGGTGAGCTTTCTTTTGGGCTTTCTTCAGTACCACTACTGTTGGTGGGGAAATGTCCTTGAGAAGGAAAAGAGTGCTCTTTTAGCACGAGACAGAAGAGCCCAATCTACACATTCCAATTTAGTTTTTGTTACCCTAAGCGTGTGCATGTCTTGCTGGGTCTAGCCGTAACTTAGCCCATGCTGTAACTGAAGAAGACTGTAAAACCCCCCAAATGGCCGCTTTTTGTTACCCCCCTAAACACTGATTCCAGTCCTTGTTCTACTGCGTAAGTGCAGTCAGTGGCTCGAAGAAGTGTTTCGTTCGTTTCATCCACTCATCGTGTGAATTACCTTGAGGCGAACCTTATTGCTGCTGCAGGCGAGGGAGAGCACAAAATCATGGCGTACCTGCGTTGCTGTAAAGCTGCGGGCAATGCAGACCCAAACACTCGACATTGTCTGTACGGGCTTGATGCGGACTTGATAATGTTATGTAAGTCTAAGACCAACACCATTCAAGCTACTGCATACGGGACCAGCGCATCAAATGCGCGCGGATGAACTGATATCGTAGGTACTTGAACATGTAGGTACTTGAACATAATTTTTGCATGCGCCTCGGCACAAACAGTCTCCTTTTGCATTTCTGGCGTTTGTACACAGCTCTTGCATCCCATGAGCCTCAGTTTGCCCTACTGCGAGAAGAAGTCGTCTTTGGCCGTCCAACAACAGTGGATGCGGGAGGCAAAGTATGTCCCGCATCAATCTGGCACGGCCATAGGGGTTGTTTGCCAATATGAGCCTAATGGCTCACAAATGTCATCAATTTTCCTTTCTTGTGCTTTCTGTGGTTTGCCTGCGCCTCATTTGTTGCTCCAAAGATTTTCAACTGCCGTAAAATTTGTGCAGTAAATGCTTCTAGCAAGAACTGCCCTGTGAAACGGGGACGGAATAAAAAAACTGTTACCATCTAGATGCCACATCGGCGTTAGTAAAGTCACCGCTTTGAGTGCCTGCTGCGGGTTTGTGTCTGATAGATGCTGCGTGAGCCGGAGAAGTTGCAGTTACTGCACATATCACTGCTGCGCGAGTATTTAGCACTCGACCTCCTGCCGCCTACAGTGGACTACAGCATGCAGCAGCTGTCTTCGAGGCGTCAGGTTCTATCTCGCAAGGATTCCCTCTCATCACAAGAGAGGGGAGAATCCAGTGAGCAAATGGCACTGCAGCCGTTGGCCGAAAGATGTCCGAGCTCCCGCATCGAGAAGATGCTAGCATGTGCAAGCGAGGCTGAACGCGTCGTTGACGACTTTGTTATTTTCTGCTTTTTGGCGGGAAATGACTTTCTTCCGCACACGTTTTCGACGGACATTGGTGAAAAGGGGCTTGACAGCATGATCATTTGCTACGGGCGCTTCTTAGCGGTACATGTTTCGCGTTCCTACAGGCGATGATCTGCTGCTGTAGCAACACATTTTCGAAATACTGCTCTGAAGCCGCCAGAAGAGCAGCCTTAGTGCAGTGCATGCGCGTTAGTTTAAAGAGTGCCTTTTACACCTTTCTGTTGGTGTGCCTGGTCAGGAGTACAGTGTACTTGCGGCAGCTGTAACAAGCACTACCCCTCTGGACGGACCGTGGCTTGTGGGCAGGTGCGGCCAGCTTAATCTTCTCAATTTGTACATTTTTCTAAAACTTTTTGTCGAGACTGTTGAGGATGTCAAGGTCGCAAGCAAGGGAGCAGATTTACAGTGGCTTGCATCGAAGAAGGGTGGGGCGGAGCTGCCAAAGCAGGTACGCATCAGGCTCCGTTGAACCATCATCTTGAATGGCGCTCACAAGTTGTGCAATTATTGAAGTCCGCCGTCTTTTATCTTTGTGGAGTTTGCTACAGATTTTGCTCGACCTTTATGGAGGAGATCCGTGCAGAGCCTTCCGTGCAAATTTCTACAGGCGAAAACTTGAATTCGACATCAACACAGAAGAAGGCCAAAACAAGCTTCAGTGCTTGTGCCGGAGCTACCTCGAAGGGCTCCAGTGGGTAGGAAGCAACCTGGGCTAGTTTGTCTGTGTCGCGGGAATTGTCACATGCTGGAACCAGACCGTGCTTTTTTTTTAACCGGAGCGCACAAACTTGCTTTGGCTTGCCCTGACCGGCTTCTAGAACCTTCTACTGTCCTTGATTTGTGGGCGCTTACAGGTTGCATATTACTATTTCCGGGGACCCGACGCGAGTGGGTGGCGGTGGTTTTATTGCTACCACTACGCTCCCTTCATGCGGGATTTGCTGAACTGCGACTTCTTCAAACCAACAGGGGGAAATGAGACCTGCAGTGCAGCTACGGGCCGGGCAGAAACGTGCAGTGACCTCTCATATCTTCTTCATCGTACTATTAACCTCCCTCAGGGAGAACCGTATTCTCCCTTCATGCAGCTCATCTCAATCTTGCCACCCCAGTAAGTAGAGACGACAAGTTAGTTTGTAGCTTCTCTATTTGTTGGACCGCGAAGGAGCAAGCCGCCTCGGATGGTGGCACGCGCAGGTCCGCGGGGTTGCTGCCATTGGAGTTGCGCCATATTCTGACGAATCCGCCTCCTGAGCTGGCCCCATTTTTCCCGAATGATCTTCAAATCGATATGGAAGGGGTAAAGGTGCGTGAATGTTTTGCCGGAGCGACTTGGGCTCACTTTAGAGGCCTCCGGCCTCCTAGTGCGCATCTTGTCCCGCTAGCTGACGCAATCCCACAATGCATTCGCTGCATTCTTCTGCCGCTAAAGGCGGGCGGCATTCAAGAACCTGGGCCTTGACACGTGGGGCATTGTTTGGGCTGCTTGCGCTCCTTCACCGTGCTGTGTTGCAGGTCCCCTGGGGGGGCGTGACGCTGCTGCCATTTGTAGATGAATCGATACTCGAGCGCGTAGTGTCCCCTCTTTTGAGGAAACTACCTCGTGAAGTCATGAAACGGAACGAAACTGGAAAAGTACTTCTGTTAATGAGAAGGGAGAACCAAAAGAGTGGGAGGCAGAATTCCGCGCCACTCGTCCGCCAAGACAGGGGCTTTTGCAGTGCTGGCGAGCTGTCTTGCTTGGACCCAGTGTATGAATGCCAGTGCTTGTTCTTCAAGCATAAAATTGTAAACAAGCAACTTGGTGTTTTTCTAGACATTTGTAGCTTGTTAGACCGCATCAATGGCTCTCCCGAGGAATGTGGGGACAAAGAGAACTGCGTTTTCCCATCGTCTCTTCCTTTCGCGTTTCCTGACGTAGTTGGAAGCTGCGTGGTTGAGGAGGAGGTACTTGTACTACCCCCAAGATTGGTTTTGCGCTTCGAGGAAAGCAAAATTCTAAGCGTCCTGAAATATCTGAACCCTTTGGTCCAGGTCCAACAGCCCGACGCCCATATGGACATAAGGGCTACAATCAATGGCTACATCGCAGCATTGCGTTCAATCTTACAGTGTGTCGATTTGGCGTCACTGAGGGAAGGTTGTGCTGCACCGCTTCAGCTGGAGTCACTGCCAAAGCTGCATCCCACCGAGCAGGAGGTCCTTTTTCCAACGACGCCCCTACCAGGAGCTTCTCCGTCTGCCGCTGACTTGTCGCCATCCCTTCACTCAAAGTGCTTTTCCGTAAGGCAGCCATCACAGAGAGCGGGATGGATTACATTTCTATGTTTCCAAGCTTTCTTCCTTTCGGCTCCGTGAAAATCTCCTTCCTTCGTACCTCGAACTTCACTCCAGCTTCTGTTGACTGGTTTGGTACCAGGCAGATATAGTACAGCCGCTTCTGATGTGTGAGTAATCGCTGAACTTCGCACCTGCATGCACTTGAAAACTATCTACTATCGCTGTGCTTGCCGAGAAAGTCTGATGCGGTGATACCGGTGCATTTTTTTCAGTGGCGTCGCGGTACTGGGATAAAGGTTTTTCGCCGCGCATCGGCTAACGAGTCCATCGTCTTGACAATTATGCCGTTTTCGAGGGAGGAACTACAGCGAGGTTCTGCAAGCACTTTTGTCGATTTATTCAAGCCGAGGAGTACTTTGGAAAAGCTGTTAAGAAGCAAGTTTGTCCTCTATGACTACCCATTCATCAAGGTGGCCACTCCCGTGAGCATCTTTTTTGGCTTTCCCTTTCAGCATACTATACATTCTTGAAACCCCACCAAGCAGCGTTGGATGGGGTGCTTAAGCACTTACGACTGCAAGGGTGTGCTGCAGTGGTCACTGCGTGGGCCTTTTGGGAAAAATGCTAGTAGCCCAGGCTAATGCGAATCCACACACGACGGGTTACATGGCAGTTAGTGTCCGCGCTTTCTGAATAGCATGTGCAGATAGTGAACTGTTGCTGAAATATTTTTCCCCGATATAGTTTTTGGGGGTGCTGCAGGTTGCCGTGTGGCATCCGACTCTCTGCTATCCTATAGACTTCGCCAATGCTTTTCGAAGCGCTGAGTTTCCTACTCAGCCTACGGAACAGCTGCAAATGGTCGAGACGGAAAAGTGCCGCTTGCAACTGCAGGGAATTGAGGTTGCAGACGAAACGACGGCCTTTACTTTCTTCAAGGAACGCACAGCCAGAACTAGAGCGGAGCAGGCCACTGACGAAGCGCGGAACATGCCGGTTTCTTGGGATCCAGATCAGGCTGCGGGTGGCCTGCGCGGGACAGAACAGTATGCAGGCCCAACAGCAATGCCCGTGGAACAACAGCTGCAGCAGCTTGCACAAGAAGTAACTTTGGCGCTACCAGGAACAAGGCAGCAGCAGCTTTCTCGCATGTTCCACCCTGAGACTGCTTTGTCCACCATTCTTGTTGAATTGCGGCCACTAGAAGATATAGCGATAGAAGAACAGCTGCTGGAAGCAAAACTGAGCAGCAGCAGCGACGGAAGTGTGACTCGTTCAAAAGAGAGGGAGCTGAGACCCACTGCTCGCGTTCATTTTCGCTATGCACGAGACACGGTTTTCCGTCTGCTGCCGCTCGTGGTAGCGCCGTCAAGTACTCTCTTGGAAAGCCTGCAACACTGTCACCAGGGAATTGTAGAAGCGCTTGAGGCTCACAGGAAAAATAGATGGACAAAGGGAGACGACGTGTTCTTCGTCGCACCAGCAGGGAATGAGCAGTTGCCTGCCGGCTCGATCGGCCTCTTGGAGAGCTCTCCCAGCCCTGAGGCGTCCCATCTTTATGTGCGCGTTTCTTCATGGCAAAACGAACCACCAGAGCTCCAGTTACAGCTTGAAGATGCCTGCAGGGCAATATGTCCAACCGTCGCAGTGCGTCAATGTTCCCTTCCCGTCCAACAAAAAGAAAAAAATATATCAGTTTCAGACGCTGTGTGGTTGAAACGAGGCTCTGCATGAATGGCACTAAGGTGGCGGTTTGCTTTTTTTATTGCAGGAAAGGCCTTATACACTCGAACAGGCCGCACACCTCATGGGCGTTACGCCCGCTGCTGCGTTTCAAGTTTTTTCTTCAATCTTCCTCAAGGAAGGAGACAATATCTACGTAGGCTGGCAAGCGTAATCTCAAATAGCAGCTTCTATGTCGCTTTGCACTCAGTATGTCGGGCTGCTGCTGTTCATAACTCTCCGCATTTTTTGGCGATGTGCTCCTTAGCAACACTGTTTGACGAGGTCACTATTTTCACACTACGGAGCGCTGTGCAGGACAGCGCACTCCTATATGACACTAGAAATGCTTGTGAAGCACGTCCAGTCATCTTACTTGTAAGGGCCCCGCTTCTTGTGCATGCGTTGGTCTACAGGACTGTGGCCTACACATAGCTATCTTCGTAGAGAAAACTCGCGAGCCTGCCTACGTTCTTACATTTTCTCTGCCATGGCCCCGCCTCTATCAACGTGGTTCTTGCCGATGTGTGGCACTTTCAAGCCGCCATATCAGAACTACGGAACAGCAGTTACCACAGCTTGTGAACTGGTCAATGAGTTTAACACTGCACTTATAGGGCCTGGTTTTCAGTATAAAGCACCGGTTGCTTTTTTTTTGTGAGCAGCTCGTTGCAGCTCTCATCTATTCACTTCACGTGCAGTTATGCTAGGAAAGCAACTGCTGGAGTCTTTCCCTGCACTAAAACAGGCATTGGATGAGGTTAGTCATTTTTTAGTTTGCCTTCCGTCCTCGCGATGCTGAAGGTCACTTTTGAGCTTCGCGTGGGTTGGACAGTGCACATGTGAGCATTCAATCCTGTGTACTGTTCTTCTGCAGAAGTGCAAATCGGCGAGAAGCTGCTTCGCAAACTGTCATCTAAAGGCATCTGAAGTCTTCAGTACATCGCCCGAACCAGCCTTCCTTGCAAGTCGCTTGGCGTCAATGGCGGCGCAGGCTCCTTCACGCCGAGCGAAAGCAGTGACCAGTGAATATGCGTGGGCCTCGGATTCGAGTAAGTTGTTGTGTGCTGCGCGATCGTTGCTGCGTAGAGTATACATTGTGCTTTGTGAGAGATACGCAAGGCAGGCATGAAACGATGGATTGCCCTCAAGTCGCTGCCCTGTGGATCTCCTCTTTCGCTGAACTCAGTGGTTGCAAATGCAAACGGTGCGATTGTGTACAGTTTTAAAGAGGCTAGATGCGGAACGCGAGAGGCTAACTGCAGGGCTGCCTCACGCTCAGTCGGTCGTACTTCCTGTGGATGAGAGCAGCTGCGTCCTAGCAGCAGATCTGCTGGCAATTCAGAAGTACATCGTGACAGGCATGTTACCCTACTCCTCTTACCTTTCAGTTATGGTCCTGCTTTTTGCACGTCTGAGGTGACTGCTCGGGCGCTCGCTGCTTCCTTATGATCTTCAGCTGCGATATTTGTGGCCTCGTGAACTACTACGCAGTGGCTCCCTCTGGCTAAGTAGACAAGCTTATTGCCTGTGGCTTCGCGATTAGGAAGCTGTGTAAATGGATTGTTCAATCAACTTTCTTTGTACTCAGGTTTCCTCCGTTTAGAAAGAGTCCAGCGAGCAAACAAGGGAAAGTACAGATTTGTGTTTGCATTAATGACATTTTTGGGGCAGCGTGTGGCATACGCGCGGTTCCGTGGCTTGGTTCGCCAAGGCGCTCGCGGCACAGCGTGTGGATTTGCGTCGAAGTTCGGCGGCTGCGGAATTAATTGTAAATACGTTGACGATGGCACGGCGGCGCCAAGTGCAGACGGGTCGCCTGAATCGTCGTTCTTCCCCACCTCCACGGGCTCTACGTACTTCGATCCCGTAGTGATACAGCTCGAGCTAAGGAATACCCTAAACTTGGTGGGAGGAAGCTCGAAGCAGCAAAGTCAGCAGCGTGGACAGCAGGAAGCCATGATCAGGACGGAGGATGATGCCCAGCGTATTTTTGCTCAGCTCAGCAGAGAAGATAAAGTAACACTATTTCAAAGGCAGCTTGCGATCCTTGAGGACTTATGCATTGAGGTGCAGCTAGATGATCCGTGTCTCGGTAAGTCATTCACCACTTTATTGCTAATTTTCTGAGCACTTCCATCAGAATACCATGCCGCCTTTTTCTCCACAAACAGTGTCGATCTTTTCTGCACCGTGAACAATGCAGGAGCTGGTGATGGGAACGGACGCCTCGAAAGTCTGCGAATGCTTCTTTGTCCTGCGAGTCACTGGCTGCCAATTGTCCGTAGGGTGAGTTTGGCTTGCAGTCATTTTAAAGCATGCATGACAAACTTGCTGAAATGTACTGGTGTCAGGCTGCGCCGAAGCTGTCGAAGCGTAGGCGCCTTTGTTACAGCGCTTGAGTTGCTTTAGACCAAAGCTGCATTGTTGTATTCTTTGCACCGATGTCTCGCCAGCGTTTGCATTTCCCTGACATCGTTCACAATAGGTTTCACATTTGAACAGCACATTCACGTTTGACGAAAGTAATTTATGTCAGCATAAAAGTTGTAAGTAGGAAGCCGCTTGTACCTATTTCTTACTCCCTCTATTTTTCACGCGCTTCAGCAGCGCTAAGTGCTGTGGCCTGGTAATATCTGTGCGTCCTCTCTTACCTCCATGCTTCTGCATCAGGGCTGCTGCTTTGCTGCCTAGTGCTTCGAATTCATGGTATTGAGACTGAGCTGGTAGTGATTTTGGTCGTTTCGATAGCAGCTCTATAGTACACTTTGATTGATCCCGCGGGTGCCGTTGTAGATGCTTATTGAATTTGACGCCCCAGTAGTTAATTCTGTGCGGCATTTTTGACGGATCTTGTTTTTCTGCTAAGGTACAGTTACCAGCAGGAGAAAAAGCACCCAGAATCCCTCGCGCTCCTGGAATAGGTGACATAGAAACACATAGCGCAAGCCGTAATCTGGCTCCGAACCGCGTGCTGCATCGTAAACAGTTTCAGGAGGGACAACATTCGCCGACGCATGCTTTGGAGAGAGGAAATCAGATACCTTTGCTCCGACCTCGACGCGCAGGGCTATCATCTGATCAACAGTCTCAGCGAGGACCATCTATGCCACTACGAGGACAGCAGTTACCTTTAAAGCAACCCCGAGGAGGGCAGCAGATGCCATCACAGCATCTCCAAAGCGCCGATTTACACGGACGGAGCTTTAATCTGCCGACACAACACAGACAGGCTCGACCGTCGGGCGTATCTAGAAGCAATAGAAATCAGTGTCCGGGCGTTGGCAAGGGACAACATTCTGGGAGCTCTGTGGCTGAAGCCCCCGTGCGTCCTATGCAGCAGCCACAGGATTCATTGCCGACAACTCAGCAGCACCCTTGGCAACCAGCTTCATCCAGGCAGAGTGAACGGAGTACTCCTGCACAAGTTACTAACAGATCAAGGGAGCAAGAACTTGCAGCAAAGGGCAACGCTCTACTTGCCATGTTACGGGCAGGAAGGCCTAGCACAAGCTGAAGTCGTGCGTGGAGCATCCACTCAGAGTTATCTGCAACCCCTTCGTGAAATGCTTGAATAACGTCGTCCGAAGCATCATTTGTCATCTTTTGATCTTCAAAATGCAGAATCAGCCATAATAAAAGTAGCCGATCAAATGCTAATGGACTTCTACGGTCAACCGCTTCAACGGAATCAACGCGGTGGTTGCCCCTTAGAAACAGTCACTTGCGTCCCCAGTATGCGGACCGCTGAAGTGAGAGCCTTCCGTTTCCTGCCAAGGAACAAAATGACGCAGCAGTTGATTCAAGAGACGCGTAGCTTATAGCCAAGTGGGATTTCCGTGGGAGTGTGAGCTATGCAAGGTGGCTCTTGTCGTTCCCGGCCGGCACTTTACCAAGATCATTTCAATCACATGTTTTTTGACTTACAATTCGCAATATTACGGCCGACTCTATGCAGCGGCGGATGCATTCTGAGCCACATTCGAGACACCCAAAGAATACATTTCTTATGCAAGAGCAGCATGCTGAAAAGCATAAAGCAAAGCAGTGGCGGAATATTCCTGTAGTCAGCAAGTGATTCATACCTGTGGCCCCATTATCGAGGGTGCCAAACATTTAGCCAGCTGTAACGAGAAGCCGCTAAACTACAGAGAACGCACGGTTACATTAGTATGAGATGTGCCTTGCCGATACCAGAGATATGCCGGGCAATCCGCTAGCGAATATAGACAACCGCAGCCAGCTAACTTTGTTCCTGTAGCACTTGTAGAGATCTTTCCTCAATGAGAACTTCTGGCGTAATATGGCATTTGGAGTCAGTGACAGGGTTCTAATCGAATGTCACTAGGTGCGGAAATATGCGTGGGGTATCTAGCTGTGTAATCTGGTCTACGCGCGTAACAGTGATGTGGCGGCTTGTGTCGCTCTTTTGTGACTTTCTTTTGCCACGATTCGAACGCTTCTGGTGTTGCGGTCCCTTCCATGCGTGTTTTCTTGTTGTCTCGCTCAGGCAGCTCGTCTAAAGACGAATGCTAGTGACTTGGTGTAGGGCGTAGTGGTTTTGTAATTCTTATTGCGGATTCTTGTATCTCTCGTTACAGCATCAATAGTGGTGAGGTAGGAGCAAGGCCATACTTCGGCTTTCGGCTTGCTTGCTCCCTTTCGCATGCGCCGTGAAATTTAGGACAGTGGCACGTCCCTGAATGACTTTAGGCGTTTGAAGTATTAGAGCGAGTAAAGGTAGTGCTGCCGTTTCTCCATTATGTTGTATGATTAACTTTTGGCCCCAACTGGCTATTCTGCCTAACAGCGGCAGCCTTCGTATGGTGTGGCAGTATTTTTTCTGTGGTGTAACAGTTCGGCCATGTGCCAGATGCGTAGAGAAGCCGGAAAAGTTAGTGTATTTAGATAAAAACCTCGTGATGGAGGTGCGATGATGAGCTCACTCAACGATAAGTTTTCCTACAAGCGATTTCTTACTGCTTGAAGGCTATTCTGCGCTTGCGACTACCACAATGTTGCCCACGTCGGCCTTCAGAGCTGTGGAAGTCTATGAAAGTATGCCATTCGCCTTTTCGCACATGGTGAGTCACCCAAAGTGCCCTATCTATTAGCAGATAGCTCAATCTCTCGTGGAAGGACAAATTATTCATTTCCACGGATAAACGTACATGATATGAAGAGGCATGCCGATGTAATAGAAACAACACGGGAATTTGTAGCTAGCGGCGAGTGACACGAATAGCCATTTCACCCATCTATTTGGAATCTCGACGCTTTTCTTGAGACCAGTTTTGAAGTGTTTTTGCAGGTTGGTGCCCAGTTGCGTGCGTGTCTGGTGCGCGCCGGAGAGTTTCCTTCTCCTGGGTGCATCGGCGCGAATTTGGTATTATTTTCTATGCAGTGGAAGCTAGTCCGCCAGTAGAATAGCTTTAGAGGTCCTTACTGAGTGCGGACAGAAACTCTTACACAGCCACTCCCAACTACAAGGGGGTTCAACGCAGTTCTTCGCCTGTGTTACAGGGTGGCTGCTATGATCGGACTCTGCATTTAATGTGGAGGTTTCTGACGCAGAAGCTGTGGCAACATTCCATGTTGAAATTTGACCACAGAAAATGCGGCAGAAGCTGCGCCTGAGTCCTCTGAGTTCAGCCTGGCAGCTGATACTGGGTTCTGTGAATGCAGCGAGCTGTAGTTTTTTATTTATGTTGGGTGATGTAAACTGGGCAGCGCTCTATAAGACAAATGCTGCTGGCCTTTTCCGCAATTGCAATGGTCACACTAAGCCTTACGAGTGGCAATAGGGTAGTGTGCTAGGAGAGGAATCGCAAGATCTATCATGGCGTCTCCCATGGCTACCAGGTCAACGCTGCCAGCCAGTCAGTGAGGCCCCACCCTTCTCATTCCGTCCATGAATTACAATCAGTGTCGCAGCGGAAGTTTTTCGTTGTTGCTTGCTCAGCTACGCTAACAGAACCCTGTTAAATATATACATATTCGAAGCTACTGCAGAATCTGTAGGCGGGCCGGTGGATGCTGCGGAGGATTCGCTAGCTCAGCCAATATCATGCCCCTAACAACTGCCCCTAACAACAATTATAAATCATTGGTTTAGCACGGGCTAACTTCCTAACCATCAAAGCAGCAAGAAAATCCACGACGGGGATTCTTGGAATGAGGAGGCAATTGCATGGGAATGCTACAATGCTAAACGGACTGAGCAAGAGGGCTACGCTCCAAGCTTTCGCAATGTATTTATGAGAAACTCATAACACCGGCAATCCCGTTTAATGAAGCTCTGCTGGAAAACACACCACGATACTCAAAAGGTCACCCAAGACAAACTACACGCCCACAAGGTTTACCCTCCGCAATCTTTGTTAAAAATGGGAGGAAAGTTGGTACAGAATTCGTTAATGTAAGGAACTAACCCGATCCCTCACTGTGGAAACTCGACGAAAGTGGAACGTTCAAGAGTACACCAGAAAAGGACGTGGACCCGTCCAGCCTGATCTCGTAAAGCTTAGCACTGCAGGAAATCGTCACACCACGATGTGGCACAGATGAGGCCAGAATTAGGCTCAGGGCTGAAGGTGTAGAACAAGTAAGACAAACAGCAGCACTTAGTGAAGGCGCAAAGCTCGAGTTTTGAAACTAGACAAGCCCTAAACGCCGGATCAACTCTGCAATTCTGAGGCGAATTAGAGATATCTGGAATTCAGGGGAAGTCAAGCAGCTCCGCAAAATACAGCAGTAAAGCCGAATCTAATTCCAAAAATTTTCAGAACAAGTGCGTAGAACTGTAACTCATACTCAGCTACACAGGTCCGTCCAGTAGGCATCTACTACGAACGCGCTACTGTGCTGTTGGTGTTCACGTGCTGTGACCCCCTGTTTGTTCATACGCTTCCGTCCCTAGTATACCTTGTGTTCCTTGATAAATGGTTTAAAATAATGCTAGGTAGTTCTTTACTATTTTGAATTTGAGCTTGCTAACCTTTCACTGGCTCGCTCGCCGTTTCCATCCCTCATCTCCGCGCCATCGTCATGAACTTCAAGACTTGGATTCCTTGTTCCCGGGGGGTGAATGTCCTCCTTCTCTTGATTAATGTAGTAATAATATTAACCATTCAAGGGTCAGCCGAGGCACCTGTGCATGAGGAGAGCGGCGAGCTCATCCGAACAGAGCTGCAGGAGACGGGTCAAGAGCTACACAATGGAGGTGATGCTTCTCCTGTCCGAGCCCCAGCCTCAGACCCTAAAGCGACGTCTGTAGAAAGGCTCACTGTAGAGGATGAACCGTATTTGATAAAGCAGGTTCGGGAGTCTCAGCTCCAGGGCGATAAGAAGCCAAGGGGTTCCAGTGTACTCCTACTGAACCGCCTTGTTTCAATGGGCCTTCTTGCATCCATCATAGTCCTTACAGGGCTAGTTTTGTGGGAGGTGTATAATTATGTTGGAGATACTTCGGACCCCTTAAAGGATGCAGGCGATGCAAGCTGGGTTCCGGCTATGATCGAAGATATGCTACGCCAGGGGAAATCCTTGGCTTTTGTCGTCAGGTTAGCCTTTGTGGCCTTTCAGGCCCACCTAGGGAGAGAATTTAGCACCCAGCCTCACATTCTTTTGCATGTTGCTGGGTCGAACGAGTCGCACAGCTCAATATACGGGCACTCGCATCTGCTATCCAACCCGTTGTTGTTCATGCGTTGTTTTGTGCTGTAGGAAGTGCAAGTACTGCGGCATTGGACTTAGGGCGTTGAGACGAGCAGGAAAAGACACGGTGGGTTTCCTGAAACAACTGCCTGATTAGAAGCTGTACCCCCTTGTTTGGGTTTGTTGAGCTGGTTGATATCGGGTGACCACAGCCGCCTTCAGTTGGCGAGCCGGTGGGCTTATAATTATTTTCTACCACAGCATCGCAGATACTCAAAGCTAAATTACAAGGTAGATTTACTGCGTGCATTCTCCCCTGGCAATGCAGGTAGCTATCATGGTTGAAGGACACCCGTATCAGCGCACGATTACTCGATATTTAAGGACGAAATATGGCTCCAGGGGATTCCCATTCTTCATTATTGACGGACAAAGATACGGCTACGTATCAAAAATAGTATGAAGTTCACTTACGAAATAATCCATGTAGCATTGACGTTCCCACTTCAAACGAGGTGCTTTCATGGACAGCTGCTTTTGCAGGCATCTCCCTGTTTGTGCTGCTTAACAGCTTACTTGCAGTTTTGTGTTTGTGATGCGCGTGCGCTTGGGTGCTTCAGAAGGAATATTTGGCGGAGGAGGCCCACTGAAGTTTGAAGCGATCAAGTGGTGCCGATGCAAATGCGGAAGAAGCACCCTGGCAGTTCCTGGGTTGGGCAAGATACAGAATGTATAATACAGAATGTTTAAATCATTTTGCATTCCGCCATACAGGGATGATTAGGCCTCAAAAGGCGCTACTTATTGAGTGTTGCATCTTATCTATATTCAATTATCACTTGTCGCTGCCAATTCGAGGTTTTTAGTGGCATTTTGACACTGGATGTGAAGCCAAAGGTATAGCCCAGCGTCAAATTCTTCTCGAGGCTCTGTTTTTACCGTTAACCATGCAGTGCGCACCAACTGTCATCATGTTTTTACGCTTCTTTCAAAGCTTTTTTTGTTGAATCCATACATATGGGGGTTTTGTAAGTCCACACGGCTTGATGGAACCTCGTTTGAGCCAAACGCACGCACGCAGCTTTCTTTAAATACAGTAGCTACGGGCTAGTAGCAGCGATTGAGGTCGTAGCAGTACAGTACCAACTTAGTTACGGACCTGAGCGTTCTGGTTTATTCGGTCACTCGGTACGAATTTGTAGCTTGTCACTACGAGGTGGTTACAAACCACTGAGTAGTGACTTAAAACATTATGTTGTAGATAGGACCATCAGGCCGCGTCTTTAAAACTAATGCATCGGCGGGTTTTACGTCAAAGCCCCCATAGTTCTATGGGGCAGTTCACTTCATCGCGCTACAGGATGCTGCCGCGAGCCGCTTGGCTTTCAACTTCAGTGATAATTTGCACACGCATTATATCAATGGGAGCGGCTTGCTTAAGGTGCCCATTCGCTAAGTACCACATTTGCTTCCCGTATGGGGAGAGACGGCGCAGCAGTGAGGCAATCTGGAACAGCAGCATGACGGAGACTGTGCACCGTCAACGGCGTCCTTTTCTGCATTGGATTCAAGGCTGCATGTTCACCGCTGCAAAGGAAGCCGTCATACAATCCAAGAGCTGCTGTTCTCTTTCGGACAACTTGCCCTTCGATGTGTTGCAAGACTTATCTACATGGCTGTCAGCTCGAACAGCTGGTCTTGAAGCTTCAGCTAGCTCAGATTGCTTGTTAGAATCCCAAGATGCCGAGCACCTTCTTGGAACTTCAAAGACGCATGGGTGCCGATCGGCAAGTGGGGGGCTGTTAAGAGATGATAGTCGGCCCATGGCCACTCCAAATGCTGCAGCAGCAGCTTGTAAGTCGGCAGCGGCCTATGGGAAACAATCATCAAAGGAAGCGCCGTTGTAAGCTAGTGTTACCTCATGGCATTGTTCCCGGTGGCCTGAGTGCTTTAATGTGGTTGGATGTGTGGCTCAATTCTTCAAATAAGATAGAGAAATACAGCTCACTCGAATAGCAGCAGTAGTGGTTTCATTTGCTGTCCAGCCATCACTGTCTGTGTTTCTTGAAGAGCCTGATGAGAATGCAACAATGGGCTCAAGAGCGGAATCTTTGTGGTCGCTTTGCATGCCCCGTGAAGAACTATTCGCATCCCATTCATTTTTTGAAGTAGTTTTGTCCTTGCAGCTTTCATTGCTATTGCTCCTGTAAAAATTCGGAGAGAAACCCAGAAATGCAGGTGAATAAAAGCAGCCAGCATGAGCTTGGAGCACGAGCAGTTCATGCATTTGTGGCCACTGGTATGAAAGGTGGAGGAAGTGCTCTACCAGTGTTAAGCTAACATCATGGTGGCTGCATGCCGTCTTGAAATTTTAGTCTCTTGGCGTATTGAAGGCGCGCTCGGAGTGTGTCTTGCGCTCCCCACTAGGTTTTGAGTCCTCTTTGTCACTTCTACAGCCTTCAGGCTTTTTGCTCGAGTTGTTCCTTTGCTCTGCTGCCTGCATTGGTAGTCTGAGCCTTTCAGCATTTTGCAAACAGCGGCGGCTGCTGCGGCAGCAACCGACAACGTGCCGCCTGCGATAGCTTGCGGGCAATTGCAGCAAGAAGGCCACTGTGGAACGACTTCCTGCGCATAAGGACTCCGATTGTGGGAATGGGTGAATCCTATTTCTTATGTGAATGACATACCCCACAGTGCGCAGAAAACAAGGGTAAAGTTCCACATATCCTATCTTCGGTATGAACGGGAGATTTTGAGGGCAGTACTCGATGCCATTGCTGAATCATTGACCGAATTAGCCATTCAAAATTTGTATGAATGAAATACGATGGGTGGCAGGCTTAAATCAGTAGACCCTACCAAGTTTGTCTGGGGGAGAGCCGGTGATATCGAAGATGAAACGTGGTTGCAGCCTTTGAGGGGAGTTTGTGTCGCCGTTGCTGAGTGCTTGTTTTCTGTTTGTGTAGCTGCGGTTGCTGCATGCAGCCTCTGTCCAGGCTTCCCGCTAGACACAGGAACGTATTGTTCATGATGCTGCTGATGTTGAAGGTGTTGTTCCTGCTGTTGTTGGTGGATCTGGCTCATCATTGTTTGCTTCTGGGAGCACTGCCTCCGCAGCTGTGTTGTGGCTATCGGGAGCGTCTGTGAAGGATGATTTGCCAATGTGTGGTGATCCCACGCAGGTAGAATAGACGGAGCCTGCAGTGGTGGCACCCATGGGGCGGGAGGGTGCCCAGAAGTTGTTAGTCCATACCTCTTCTGGAAAACATATGGAGAAACGCTCTTGAAGGTTGGCATTTCGTGAAAATGTGTATTTGTGGAACTGTCTGCTGCAATGCCCAGTGCGCCGGGAGGCGTGGACTCCAAAGGCCTTCCAAAAGCGTTTGTTGTCATGTTACCATGATCGTGAGGGCGGCTGCCGCAGCTTGAAAATAGAAACGGCAAATGTTCTCTCGCACTGCTCCCGGGAAATGCAGCCATACTGCTAAGGGCGAAATGACCTTGCCCCTTGAAGTGCTGCCGCTGCTCTACGTCTGCCAGAGAAAAATTGGTAAGCTTGACGGTGGCAGCCGAAAATTTGTTACTGCAGCAACAACAGCCATTATATCGTTTAGCTGAAGGCACTTTTATGGAGCATGATACATCGCTGTTCCTTGGGCAACATCCCACGCACTGGGTTGCAGCCTTTGGGCAATTCTGACAACCGAGAGAGCCTGCGCAACTGTGTGCATGCAGGTCTTCTAGCTGGGAGGAAGGGTGTGCGGGACGTGGCAGCTCCATGCTTCCTGGTTGATAAGTCACCATACTTCCTCGAGGTTCCGGAACGGCTAGATGTGAGCATTGTTGATTCATCATCGAAGGAGGGCCTGATTCCACTCCGGAAAAGTGTTGTTCGGCTAGAGGGCTGTTCCGCGTCGGGGAAGCCGCAGAGTTTTGCTGCTCTGGTCCAGCAGCTGCTGTCGTGTCATTGTTCAGGGCTGGGCAAGGTGTTGGGCTACCTTCTTGTGTGTTGCGCTGGCAAGGTGTTGGGACTTCTTTTTGGGGAAGCGGTGCTAGTGCAGAGACATGAGTAGGGGACCCGCAACAACCACGGTGTTGAGGCTGGATGCTTTTGTTGTGACAGCAGCATTCTGCATTGCTTATGTAGTGACTGCAGTTTCTACGGATACGGCAGCAGCAATTACAAATTTTAGTCTGCTCTGGTTCGGTAGCGATTTTGTTTTCGGACGACGTGGCGCTCAAATCATGAATTTGATCTTTCGGAACGATCATGCTCTGTGTGCTATTCTTCATCTCACTCCCATTTACATGGAGGCCTGCAGCAAACCCAGAGAAGCCAGGTGTCTACTTTGAAGTAACGACTCTACAAGCGTGTTTTCTGCTTCCTGTCTGCCCCACGCATGCGGCTGTTCTTTCACACCGAAATAATACTGCCTGAAGATTGGCTCACTAGGCAGGGTTGCTTCTGCAGACGCCGTGTTTATCCCTTCAACAACTGTGGCTGTGCTGGTGTTTTCCGCAGGAGGTGAGCTACTTCTGTGACAAGTACGAGCTGCAGCTTTTGGCCCACTCTGACCTTTGCCACCTCTTAAATTATCGTGTTGCATGTACTTGCTCTTCGTCTGAGATTTTTTTGCTGGAGGGCTTGGCTCCATCAAGGCTGTCCTCATTACGCCATCTTTTTGTTCGGTCTGTTTACAGTGACGCATTTCCAATAAAGTACGACGAAAAGTGCCCTACTGCCACGCTGGGGATCATTTTTTTACCACTCTCAACTACAGTAGCCGAACTTCGGAAATATGTATCTGTTAAACGTACCCAAAGTTTTGGCGCACGTAAGCCACTATATCTTCCCGGCAGCTCAAAAATTAGGTATGCGTCATCTAACCATAGGAGAAAGGCACTTCAAGAGACACTGCCCTCGTTGAAGGACAATTCCCCGCCTGTTCTCGTCCTCTACTTCAAAGAGAAACTGGTTTAGTTTACAGGGGCATTTTCCGTTTGTATTAGCGATTCAGCTGTCTTCCTTACCTGATGATGAAAACATCAGAGTGTCCCCATTTTCCAGAGGATGCCAAATATGGGGCTCTAGCCTGCGATTGTTCAGCCATGTACCTGCAATATTCTCAGCACAGCCCCTCAAAAACAACATGGGAGTAATATTTGTTCGGTGCATCTTTAGCCCCTCAAAAACAACATGGGAGTAATATTTGTTCGGTGCATCTTTGACCAGAAAATCAAGTGGCCAGTGAGTAAACTATGCCATATATAGAAATGGCCAAGAGCTTATGAGGCTACAATAATATGTGTGGCTTTGAAAGGCCTGAAGTACCATTCAAAGATGCCAAGTCCTTAACAAACGCTCGTTGGCATCCACTTCCGCAGGGTACGCCTCCTTTAGAGGCGGATGCTCCACCTTTGCAACAGGGAAAGCACGCATATTTGCGTCGAAGTACGGTGCGCTGCCGATTATTTAAGGTGGTAGTACCTTATTTCTTATTGACGAGAGCCTGTTTTCACTTCGCATGAGGCCCTTGCTATACTTGAAAATACAAAGGTTTTAGGGCACTTTGCATCAAAATCTCAATAATGACAAGTTTACGCCCACCTTGATCGGCTTGTTGGAGGCCCGTTAAATCGAAGGCGGCATGAAAACGAGATACACCAGCGCAGCGAACAGTGATGTCACAGGTTCGAGCTCTACCCAAATGGAGCAAAGGATGCTCAAGCTGGTAGAGAATGCGCCGTCCACGCAGAAACGCCAGTACATGAGGGGTGTCCTTCGGCCGTGTCATTCCTAAACTTTCGACTTGGCTATACGGGTGCGTCCGCGAAAATCAAATTGTGCATTTCCCGCAGCCACTGGTGCTGCGAGGAGGCAGGGGTGCTGCGAGGAGGCAGCTATGTCAAGAGTCTAACCGCTTAAGTGCATTCACTTCAAGAAGCTTTGCATATTTTCATGCAGCATTGTTTTTGAGTCCGACTCGGCTGCTAACATCGACATATATTTCACCTGCTAGTCAGGCGGAAGAATTTTGTGTTAAATCACGGTCTAGAGTGGCACTTCTATGGAGCAAGAGCAAATGGACAGCTGCAGGAAGGCCTCTGATATTACTGTCCAGGTAAATGTGCTTTCAAGCGAGCACTGGGGAAAAGCTACAGCAGGCCTTGGTGTAGTGGTCGAGTTCAGGGCAGATTCGGGCCGCTCCACACATCACGCTCAAAGCCGTGCATCCTCTGTACACATTTCTTTTCCTGTGTATCTCTGCTGTTGAGAAGCATGTGACAAGCAGGAAGAAGCTGCTTCCGCTTTCATGCAAAGCTGCGCAAGATGCAGCTGTGGCCCACGTGATCTGTCTGCAGCCCTCCGGTGTTCATTCGAGGAAATGAAACCCTGCATAGTTTCTGCTCGCTCGTGTATAGTACACCGACTCAAGTTCTTTGATACCCTTTTACAATTACTGGAACTGCACACTGTTCTTCGGTCAGGAATTCAAGCCTGTACAGGAATGCAACGCACTGGGGTAGCCGATAGCCGAGGGCGGCAGAGTTGCCTAAGCCTCAGAAGGGCCAACTCAGCCCCAACTTTCGTTGAATCCCCGACCAATAAAAAAATAATATTCTTGTTAAGTGTTTTTTGCCGTAAGCGAAGGTTTTGTCTTCATGAAGGCCTTTTTGTGTGCATATTCTCTTCTTGGTACTGTATCGGTGAGGCGCCGCGGCGGAAAGCCGCGGCAGTTAGCGTGTCAAATGTTCTCGGCGGATACTTGTTCTGAATTAGCTACTGACACTTTTCCGGCTGAAAACATTTGAGCCTTTAGATGTAAAAACGCCAGAGCTGACGAAGAGGGTGGTGAGGGTGATTCCCTACCGTCGGCTGCAATCTCGAGACCCAACTACGGTGAGGGTCGCTGGACCCCGTCACTTTGTGGCCATCTTTCCCCGCTTTTGCCTTAAATTGATTTTGCAGTCTTTTGCTCTTGATATTTTGCCGGAGAGTTCCACACGAGCCTTCTGCAGACCCCTATTACCAGGGCGTCGACCGGGCCCCTGTGACGCCTGGTCCGCCTTTGCCTCTTTTCATTGGACATGCAGCCACTTTGAAAATTAAACTGGAATAAACATGGAGGTACCTACAACTGTTTCGTACAGTGGTAGTATGAGAGGAGGTCCCGCTGCGGATTCATCACGGGCCACAACTCTTTCTGGCGGTGGTGCACGCCGGGTGAACTTTACACAGAAACTAGCGCACCCAAAAAACGTTGGTGCAACACCTCCGCGATCATCTTTACAAAGGACCGATTCAACTCCATCATTAAATCATCAGGCTTCTCAAGCTCTCTCCACCGCAGCTTCTGAAAAGTCCCGTGCATCCCGTGCATCGATTTCTTCGAAAGCGTTGACACCGGCGCAGCAACCAGTGGAGCGCACAGCATCCACCCCATTAGCTGAGAACAAGGCAGGCGGTGCGTTTTCTTTTTCCCGAGTTCAAGCTGCAGGGGGAGCACAGGGTTCTCTTGGAAGCGAGACAGACTACTGGTTCCATGCAGCCCCAACGACCACCAGTGCAGCACACCGTGCCTTTTCTTTAAGCTCCAAATACGAAGCGCAGTCAGAAACGTCAGAAGCTTTGCGTGAGGAGGGCCGATTCACCTCGGGGAGAATGAGCAACATTGAACGTATTCTCGGCACCACTCCCGTCTCTGCCGACAAGAAGGGGGAGACATCTCATGGCCTAGAAGCCCTACGCCAGGCAGTAGATGCCCTGCATGAGGATAGAGAGCTGGAGGGGCAGGAACAACAGCAGGACCTATCGGAGTGGCAGGAGCCTCTTGAAGAGAAGGACTCAGATGGCGCCATCAGCAATGGGAGCGCCATTGCAACAGAGCTCTGGAAAAGACGTGATACACAATCTTCGACTTATTCTCCACTTTGCTCTCGAACTCTCCGAGTGAGTAACGCCTCCATGCTAACTGCGTGATGCTGTTTCTGTCGCCATCCTTGATGGCTTCCCTAGGATATGCCGCCAGTAGTTAAATTGACGAGGAAGGTGGAACGCTAAATTCTTGAGAATAGTTACTTTTGCTGGTAAAAGGAGGAAAGAGGAGGGCACACAGCAGGAAAGAGGGTAGGGGGAGGCAGATAGAATAAAGTGGGTAAAGTTGAGTGCGATGTACTGGTACTTGCATCAGGAACGCTGTGCCTACACAACGAGCGACGACTGGGCAATATTCGCCCTGCATAATCAATATGTGAGGCCCTTAAGGGACCGTGAATGGGTCCCTGGGGAGCCTTGTATCATCCGCAGGAATTGCTTTGAACTACCACCAGGCGCATGTAAGTGCGACGCCGTTCATAGAATTAGCCTTGTAAGAGTAGCGGATTGTGGAGCCAGGCACCGGTACTTCCACATTTCTCTTTTTGCCTTTAACAAATCTCGAGTTAATGCAAAAAGCCTTCGTAAGAGTGCATGTTTTGGTGCAGGCCGCTTCTCCGAGGTTTCTTGTGGTATTCCTGCCACTGCATTTGACAGTTTCGTGTTCCCTAACCCCCCAAGGCAGTTTCTTATCTCTTCCTCAAAAAGAACTTCTGGCAACGTCGAGTTCGCCCAGCCTTCATCTGTAAGGAGTGGCAGGGGCCGAGGTGGAGCACGAGGGAGTGGCTCGCAGTTAACTCAGGAGCAGTTGCTTGACTTGGAGAGGTGAGACTGCGGCCATGTGAACGAGCATCTTTTGTTGATTAACAGGATCATATACTTTGTTTGCACCTTAAGAAGGCGCTTTGATGCTTTCATGAATCGGAGCTGGTGAAGAGCTGCTGAGGAAATGGCTCTTTTCGTTTGCTGCATTGATTTTTGGGATTGCATTGCGTGCGTTCTTTCAGAATGTTGTGGTTCGACCCGGAACCCCGTCTGGAAAGGCCATTTAGATTGTATGCTGATTCGAAAACTTGCCTCAAGGTAGAGTCTCTTCCGCGTTGCACTCAGTCCAGGAGACCCTGTCCTGCTTCTTCAGAAAACAAGCGCAGTTTTGTGGATAGATCGATATGCACTGTTTTTAAGAGCTACGTTGACTATGTTGGCTAATTTTTTCTTGTTTGTGGACTTCTGCAGGGCCGTATCCACGATATTGGCCATATAATGAGGAGCGGATGGTGATTTAACTCTTCGGTGGGATAGGAACGCCCTCATCTGGAACGCTTCGACATGTTAACCATATTTTGAAACTTTTGTGTTTGTTTTACTGGATAAGTGCTGCACGTAACCGAGCTGAGCCAGTATCCGCGCCGCTCGGAACGACGACAGCCTCGTTTCTTTGTTTACTCCCGTTCCAAAGTTTTGTCGTCCAGTGTGTAGGCGAAAGTGTTGGCCGCGCATCATATGTTTGACCTTAGAGTAGTGTGATAGTTGGAAATCAACTAGCCAGCTCCTAGTGTAACAGTAGCTTTTATAAATTGAAGGCAAACTGGCAGGACAACGCGCCTGACGGAGACAAGGCAACTAGGACAAGTTCCATCAGCAAACGGCCTGTTACTTTCTTTTAAAGCTCCTCGAAAGTAAAGGAACAACGACAATGAACTCAAATAGCGCTATTTTTCGAGCAGTGTTCTCTTCCGTAGCAGGCTGCTCTCACCTCCGGTTCTGTGATAACAGAAGCGAGACAAACGCGCATGGAGAACGCTTGACGCTTCGGGTATTATGTCCCATGAGGTAAACAAACAATGATATTTACACGAATATACTACTGTTCTGTAAAAATTGCTTGGTTAATGGTCTTAGATGTGTAAAGCTCCACTTCGTGGGTGCTGCCGAAACGGCCTGCAGGCGAATCGATGACGCGCAAAGGAAGCAGACCGGGCGATGCAACAGCATACTTTCCCCCAACTTTGTATTGTTGTTCTCACACTCATTTTTCTTTAATTTTTCACCTTAACTTCTTTGGACATGTTCTCATTTAACCTCAACAATCCTGGCAACACCGCAGGAGACTGGGCAAGACTCACAGCTAGCAATGCTCCCAACGTGATACCCGACTAATGTAGCCTCGAGCACCCTCTTGGCAAGGTTAATTGATGAATATCCTACGCTTCAGGGAAGTAAAGAGTCTGTGAAATGCCCCCACTCCCTGGGAGCATCCGAAGCCCCTAACCACTCAGGCTGCACAGGCAGGTGCGCTTGTAGGGGACAATACGGTGGTACACAAGCATGGAGAGCTCCCAAGCTGGAAGTCATATCCTCCAAAGTCCCTCAAATAATGGCAATTGCTCTTACGTGACCTCCAACGATGGCCAACCAGGAACCTTCCAAGTGCATGGTGCTCCCGAAGCAGTCGGCGGCACAGCGCAGATGCACCCAAGCGAGGCAGTTTCAGAAGCAAGAAAACGCATATCAAATCCTGATGGTAAATTATCGCGTGCAGTGTCGTGGATGCCCAAATGGACGGATCAGAAGCAACAAATGGCAAGAGACCTAGCGGGGTCTTCGCCCACGGTTCGACGAGGCATGAAAAGCGGTGTGGCAGCCTCGCCTGCCATACGAATAGCTGCCAAATACCCGTTTAGCAGCTCTTCTGTTCGGCCTCTATCTGTCGGACCGCCAAGTCAACGATCACAAGTAATATCCAATCGCCGCACTCATGCTGCTAGCGTGAACATTCCTGCACAGAGGCGGATAGCAAATCAGCAGCAACAAAAGCTGCTGACGAGATTTGACAGCGATAAAAGTGTTAAGGCTGCGACACCGTCAGCTGCTGCTGAGGTGGCTTTGCCTCGGCGAGTGGGACAGCATGGCTCAGAAAAGCATTCAGAAGCCTGCCCTTGTGGTCCATCAAGTGCGACTACACACTGCGAGCTGCCACTTCTCCAGAAACGTCGGACTTGGCGCCTTTTGCAGCATCTTGTGGATCAACTTGAGGCAGAAGGACAGTCCCATGCGCTCCTTCAATATCCTGAAGTTCTCCAGAAATTGTTAAAGGCTCTTATGCCGTTAATACAACAGAAAGATGCACTCGGCAACTTAAGCGAATGCACCCAAGCGAATGGCTTTCTTTCGGGAAGGGTCTCTAACGGCTCAAATGACTGCTCGTCAACTCTGCTGGCCCAGATCCCATATTCAGGGCCACAATCTAGCGCTACCCGTCAAACGAGCGCTCCTGCTTCGGGACAAGTAGCTGCACTGTCGAACACTGCAAACAGCGATACTCGTTCGCTACACAAGCCACTTTCTGCCTCATCAAGAGTGCGACTCGCTCGTGCAACCCAAGATGCGGGCCAAGGGTTGCCAGGCCCGTTACTTCATAATGCTGCTTCCGCGAAGGCAAGCCTTCGGCACCGCGGACGCCCTACGTCTGCATTGAGGAATGCCTCCAATCGCTTGCAACAGGAAAGTGCTTCACAGAATTCCCCAGGTTCACGGACGTATTTGATAGCGAAGCGTGACATTAGCAATCCTGCTGGGACTAGAGGAATGACAATATCTTCGCAGGCGACTGAAAAGCCTCGGCCTAGCCGGGCAATTAGCACAGGACGGTACTTGCATGTGGCCTCACGACTTCCTCAGGGTGCGTTACAACACAGGAGGCATTCCAGAACGACTAATCAGGCAGTTTTGCTGCACAAGAACAATGATGGGGGGAAGCCAGTTCTCCCTTCTTTCGTGACTTGCGCTTCATCGACCAATCTCAACCACGAATCTGTGATGGAGCCTGTTTCCTCTGCAAGATCTGATGACTCGGGGAGCCGTTTTGATTCTGGAGTCACTCCATCACTGGGAAGCTTCACTGAGGATTCCATGGAGCCTTGCTCCGCCCAGCAATTTGACACGGGCAGTGGGGCGATTTGGTGGGCTGGCTCAACGTTGGAGCGCCTTGCGCTCTTTCGCACCAGTCGAAATATACAGGCGTTGCCACCCTCTTCGCAAGCCAGTAACTTTGAAGACGACACGCCAGAACAAAGTGTTGAAAGCCCGGCAGCGCATGAATCCAGACAGTCTTCGGGCCGTGCTGGTGTAGTTCCAGCTGTTAGTGAGACTCAGAGTCCAACTACAGCAGTGAGAAGGCGACGGCTTGTCGAGCCCAGCAATTTGGCAGCTAGGAGACAAACTGCCGTTGTTGTGTCCTCTGCGCAAGCCAGTGGAGAGGGAGATAAACTGCCAGCAATCTCGGAAAAATTTGCAGGTGTCCTTGCTCCGCCTGAAAAACGCGAGAGGCGTTTCACCACTTCAGATGTAGCGAAGTTCAAGAGCACAGCGGCTTCTTTCAAGGGAGGCCGTCTGGTCCTAACAGCGGATGAGTTAGACAAAGAATCTAGGGATGGTCAAGCGACCTTACCGGTGCCTCCCTTGAAAGATGTCCCCAAAATCAGGCAAGGAAGAAGAGCCACAACCCAAGTTACGACACCTAAAAGCACAAATTCGCCGAGACTGTCTGCTGAAGCAAAAGCAAAAAGGGAGAAATCGCCTATACTAACTAAGAAGTTGGCAAAGAGAGATAGTAGGAGTTCCCTAAACCCATCATCTGCTTCTCCACGCGAATCACCTCAGGCAGTTCCAGGGGGCCGAAGGATGTCTGCACCTCCTCCACGAAGAGCAACACAGGCAAAAATTGCCGCTGCACTACCTCCTCCGCGTGCGCGTGCTGCCTCTACCCGTGGAGCCCCTGCAGGAGTCCCTTCGTCCTCATTAAAAGCCCCTTCAGCAAGGCGAAAGACTGTCAAGTTACCTTCTTCCAAAGTGAGAGGGCAATCTGTCAAGTCACAGAAGGATGAAGAACTTCTATTGCCGGAAACAGAGGGACTGGATAAGGGTGACGGAGATGTAGAGGATGAAAAAAGTGGAGAAATGCCAACGGCAGTAGAGACAGAACCAGAGCCGCCATACCCGTACCTTACCCTTAAGGAGCTGCCAGCATTAGAGAAACCTGTCAGGCCTCTTCCAAATTTGAGTGCCCTTCTCCTCAAGGCCGGCTTGGACCCTCCACCACCAATTGACGTAAGCTGAAGGGGGATTTAATGTGTTTAAGCTCCAGGACTGGAGCAGGCGAGCAATCATTGTCATGCTAGGCCTGCTTTGTTGAAATAACCGTTTGTGGATGCACAGCAAAGGCAGCCGCTATATTGAATTTTGCAAGAGATCTAATGGCTCGCACCTTCATGCGTGTTTTCTAGACACACATTGCACACCTTCACGGAGTGCGTAGATGTGCTGTGTAATGTGTTTGGCCTTTAGGATTCTGTGACATTCACACATGTTCTCGATCGTAACGAAAGATTGACGGAAGCGGGTAGAGATGAAGCCACCCAGCATGCAGTTTCGTCTCTCTGCAATGATGGCCCAGATACAATGCTGCTAGTTGCTCGCTGGCTGGACACAGCAGCAGACACTGTCGAGAGCAACACTATCGCGGCGGCTGAGGGGCTGCCGTGGCGGGATGTTATTCCGCCACTCTTTATTGGGGTCAATAGGCACAGAGAGCTTCTGAATCCAACAGCGCCACCCAAATCTTTTTCACCGAAAGAGCTACGAACCTTTTTCGAAGCAGAAGGTTTCATAGAAACGCAAGAACAAAAGCTGCGGCACTTACTGGAAACCAAGAGCCTACCAACCAAGCCTTCAGATGGTAAAGAAAAGTTGTGCTGTTCTGAAAGCGTTGACTAGTAGCTCCCAGATGCAGTTACACTTCACAGTCTGCACGTACACTGCTCCAACATGCCACGACTATTTTGTACTTCTTCAGACAGAATGCCCCGCCCTCGCCCACAGAAATGTTGCGGGACTGTTTGAGTGCGTGTTTCAGGTGTATTACCCTTTAAATCGCGCACGCCACTTGACAGCTATCTCGATTGCTTGCTCGCCATCGCCGTGACATTCCTTCGGAGGAGAAGGCAACCGGTAGTCTTCCCAAAAATTACAAGACTTGTCATCGGTGTTGGCCAAAAGCCTCACAGCAGTTGCTCCTGCTGTGAATGTTTTCCGAACGATGTAGATATCGAGAATGACCATGAGATGCACAGAACCTACTGTGGCGCGCCTGCCTTTGGATCACGAGTGCATGCATCTCAGCGGCGCTGTGCGAGCTGCCTCACGGTAAGGGGACCTTCAACAAGCTGCCTCAGCATGAATACTCCCTGTACACAGAGTCGTGGGCTTTTCTGTTGCTCACCTGGAGATATCTGTGGGCCTCCTGAACTGGACCTTTTTGAGTCTACAGCAATGCAGCAAGTACGGGCGGCTGTTCGCCAAATGCCGGTTCTTCCTTCAGAAAGATACCTTCGTTATTTGCGGCTGACAGGCCGTCGCAGAGAACTTACTGCGCTAGCTGTTTGGTTAGCAGGGAGGCCCGACATTATCCCAACCTTCTCTGAACATGACCCGTCCGAGCCGGAGCAAACATTTTCTTCGCCACCGGAAAATAGTTGTGAGATGAAGACAGAACATGCGAATCCTCCAAGCGGTGTTTTCGAAAAAGGAAGCAGCGCTTCATTCTCTTCTGGCAACGATGAAGTGCCGGAAAAAAGAACGGTTCTTCGTGAGAACGCCCCTTCTCCAGCGGCCGCTGGGGAAGGTGAAGAGGCCAGGGAATTGGGCAGACAAGGAGATGGAGGTGTGCAAGGGTCATGCAGCGATATCTTTCCGCGTCCAAGTCCCTGCTTACCAGACGAGAACCATGGTGAAGCCGTTGCCAGCCTCGGTAGGAGAAATGGCAGTCTAGAGGCTCTGAGAGATGAAAGTGAAACAGCAGCCAATCTCAGAAGTGGATGTAAGACAACAGACATGGATACCGGCGGCGGTACAATATCTCTCTCTACGAGCAAACAGGTTTCAGCTGACTTGCTTCCTGCCATGAAGGCCAACTTGGTCCCTCGTGACCTACCAGTAGATCCGGAAACTCATAAAGTGGGCAGTCAGGCTCCTGCAAACCCTGCACAAGATCAGCTCATTCTACCTACAGCGACAGCTGGTGCTAAAGCCAAAGCGAAAAAGCAGCCAACCGTAAAGAACCCGCCACCCCGTTTGGCACATGTTGCTCAGAAGGCCATTGCTCGTTCAAAAATATCGAGGCCGCTCGGGCAAGCACAATGGCAAGCTCCAGGCATGCCTGGAGAGGTACCAGCTGCTAGAGACCCGCAGAGGGCAGCAAAGACTCAACATCTCAGGCACAGCAGAGTCGTTGCTGGAGATATGGTGAAATGCCAGCCCCCTGAGTCGGATGACAACGCAGCTGCTATGCCTGTGGAGAAGGGCTCCGACATTTCGGCCTCCAAAGCGCCACAAGGCTCTCCCGTCAAGCTATCATCACAATCCGATGAAGAACCAACCACGGTCGCTGCTGCACAACTGCCAGTCGACACTCCACCACGCGGGCCTCGTAGTAATTTTCAAAAGAAACAACCCCTAATGCAGTCTAGGCTAATCGCTTCTCGCGCTTCTTCGTCAAAGCTTTTTAACGGCCCGAAAAATGGACTGCGAAGACCATCAGCTGCTTCTCTACCGGGAAGACGTGGGACCACCTTTGGGGTGGACCCAACCACCCAACCCACTGCAGACCCTGCGCAGCTGACTCAAGAGGCTGTGGATCTCTTGTCTGAGCCGCAGATGCTCGCTGAGATGGCAACTCTTTGTGTTCGGCTCTCAGACCTATTTTGTTGTAGGTCAGCAACTTCCTCTGTCGATCAACCATCCGGAGGTCAGGCCGCAATGGAGAGACCGTCAGAGTTCGAGCAGGAGCCTATATAACGACTGCAAAGACCGTTGGGTGCGCGCTTGACGAAGTCGGGTTCACAACTGGTGCGCAGATCTGTATCTTTCCTTTTTCCTTCGCAACAGTTTTTGTCCCCTTTTTGTTTTACTTTGTTTGTGAGGCAGTGGCTGAATCACTTGTCCTACTCTGTTTTATAGCCAAAGGCTCTGCAAAGAAAAATTCCAAGCTGCTTTGTATTTGCCGTAATCCTTAACTTTTATCTTGGTGGGATTGCCACCGAAATGTGACTTCAGGGATTGCAACTATCTCATAAATCATGTGTGAGTTTGTCTCCTTTCTATTCTTGCTCACACTGACATCAGCTGTAGCCACTTGAGCCCGTTACATCACTCCTATTGCTCCCAAGTATCAAACACCGCTCTTCCATTTAGAGACATGGCACTTCATCACCTGTGAGAGAAGCCGAGTGGTGTCATCACCAGATGAATTTAAAAGATGAGTAGGAAACAGTGAAAAACAATAAATATACTCCTAAAAAAGATTGAGATCGCTGCTGAAAATGGATTGGTTTGAGAACTTTCGAAATGGTAAAGCAGTCTGCTCCCCAAAATGTGAAATAGACATTCTCTGAAAAAGGAATATTGGCAACATTCAGCTAACCAGAGTGAAGGGTGCATGGCCTGTGTGGTGTACCCACTCTCTATAGTGTCAAAAACAACATAGCTGTGCTCTCCTGCGGCATCGCCCATGGTGGCCATCCGTCCCTTGGTCTCTCTGCGTTTCTTCCTGTGAACAAGCCGCAGCATCGAAAAGGAGACATGTGCAGTACCGCAAGAAGACAGCAATTCGCAGCAAACTTATCGCGAGGGCCTAAAGTTTTTCTGGCTGTGCAGTACTCAATTTGGTAGTGCTGCATGAGTTAGCTTGCTCGCAAGTATGATGCTTCGATTTCATATCAAGTCAGCGCCGAAATAAAGGCGGAAATATTCAAGGAAAGTTATGCACACGACGAAATTCGCACAAGGCTTTTTTGTAGCCACCGAGGATCTGCTGTAGCGCTTTGCACCACTTGTATTCCTGCGTGGCTTGCGGAAGAGTCTGCAATGCCTCCTGACCACTGGTGGCCTACACAGAAATGGCAAGCAAAAGTCCAAAGAAGATTACTCACGAAGAGAAGTCCAATGGCGAGCGCAAGGGCAAGTGGGTACTGTTGGAAGTAGTGGAGGCAGTGTTTTAAGTTCGTACCAGTCACTGGGGGGATTGTAGTGGGCCCTAGAGCTCTAGGTGGAATCGAAACAGGCTCATTGATGCTTTCTACTCCGACCATGAGTTGGCAAGATCGTGCTCTTGGGAGAAGCTGGCCCGGGTCCTGTTGATTGTGCTGCTGTTGGCTTTTCCATTGTTGATGAGCTTGGAATGAGCTGACGAAGGCCTCTAGCTCATGAAGGCGTTGCTCCTGATGATAAAGACGACTTTCCTGAGTCTTTATTTTCCACTGTTGGTGTTGTATCTGATCACAGAGGGCACTTATGACTAGGTCCTTTGCAAATGTAGAGGTGTCTCCGCTCGTGTAAGGACTAGATGGGCGCTGTCGAATTTGTTGCGTTGCGTGAAGTTCAGCTGCGTTTGCTCCCGCCGGCAGCCTGGCGAGAGAAGCAGTTGCGCAGCTCTGGTCTGGCCAAGGCTGGTCCCCTGACACGCACTCTCGGTTACTGCGAATGCCCTCTGGAGCGCTCGAAGCGTAGGTAGCGGGATCGACAGTAGCGGACGTCTCTGCGCGCTCTTTAACAGGCTGTTGGGAAGTCGTGCTATCGATTTTTTCTGATGATGGCGGATGACCACGAAGCTCACGAGGGGTGACGTGTCTCCGAAACAAGCGAGTCGGACTGCCTCGTCCTTTTGCCGTGGTTTGAAGGATGTACACAGCTTCAGACGCGCTTGCTCTCCTGTGGAAGTCCGACGGAATCGGCGAACTTCGCAAAGCCTCAACGCTCGCACTGCTCACAGTCTTCCTTGGGTACCAGCTTCCGGATCTAGCCATTTCCCTTTTCGGCACGTCTGTAGCAACACTCAGTAAAATCGCAGTACCTTCAGTCGCTTCCCGCTTTGTATTTTGGGAGAGGTTGTCCATTGCAAGGCCACCGAATGGCTGTTGCACGTCTGTGAAGTCTTGGTGAAACAAATCGTGGGACTGCTCTCCGGCGTACTGGACGATTTCCTGACTGCGGTTAGGTGTAAGACCCTCATTTCTCTCGCACTGAAGCTCCTTGGATGTGCTGGTTCCAGCTTCACCATGAGGAGAGTAGAAGCTTGTCAGTCCAGTAACGTTACATGAGACGGAGTCTACGAGCGTGCTTCGGTGGCAGCTCTCCGAGTCTGTCATGTCCCCTGTCGATGAGTTAGCTGCTTTTCTTCTGTGCATGAAGCGAGCAGACGTCCGCTGAGGAGTGCTCTCGCCAAAGTCAACAGTCCAAGGAAGGATGCGGATGGTAACGTGCTCGAGTACAAAGCGGCTGGCCAAGGCTTCTGCCATGACAAGCAACGCAGTAGTCTGAATAGGCGCAGAAACGGTCTCTTTTAAAAGGGATTGTCGGGTTTGCACAGATGGTAGGGTAATAACCGCGAAATATGTATCTTAAATGGTGATTCGGCGTCGTTTTTGCCCTCAACAAGTGTCAACCGACAGTTCTTGGCCATTGGAGGACGCTTTGAGGCTGCCGTACACTGAAAAACCGAGGAAAAGCTCGCCGTTTATTCACAAGGAAAACCAATAACATGAGCGTGTTTATTGCCGTAGAAGGCGTCGTCGGTTCGTCGTCCCCCGGGCCCAGAACACCAACATGCCACGAATAGCGAGACGACGACCACTGTCTCGCAGACGAAAGCAAGTAACAGTGTGGTCTTCTTGTTATTTCTTGAAACAAAATGATTTTCATGAGAACAAACACAGTTCTTCCCCTCGAAGACTCGTACTGTTGCTGTTCTGTAATTCAAGCGTCGCCGTAGTTGCTCGTTGAAACACGAACACGTCCACCAACCACAGTTGGGCTGGACACATATTCTAATATTATTTCTGTACACCTAGGTTTCCTTCTTCCCTAGTTTATCGACCAGAAAATTTTTAACGTAACTTATTGTTGACTTGTCGCCTAGGTACAGTAACTGCCACTACTTATCACATGTCGTCTCGCTCCCAGCAAACCGACGTCACTTTCACTAGCCTCCCCTTCTTGAAAGCGTTTCTGGTAAGTTCCGAAACACAATAATTTTTATTCTCATTCACACCTTGTTCATTCTTCATGGAGATCTGCAGTCTACAGGTTACGCAGAAGGGAAAACTGCTTTTTGCACCAAGTTGCCCAGCCCCATCGGCAATAAGTTTTCTTCTCAAGAAACCCGGCAAATTCCCTCAAAAATCGTTTCATTTTTAGAGTTTGAAGACATCCTTTTGTAGCCATCGCGTCCCGAAGCCTATTCCTGCAGACCCTGAGGACATTCATACGTATGCCGTCGAAACGCAGCAAACCTTGCGTGAACAAACGGAAGCAATCCACGGTTTGCCCATAAATTCTGCGATTCTTTTATAGGTGAGCTTCCAAAATTTTCTACTTTCGCGTCAACCGCTGAACGCAGAGCACCTAGTTGGTGGTTGCGACGCCACTGGGAGCACTTGCCCGATCCTTCAAATGTAAGGTTGTCCTAGAAAGACCGAAGCTAATTTAAAGGGAATTTACATCACTAACGCAGACTGAAGAACTCACTTGCAACGTCTTCTGCTCACGGTAACGTCTAGCCATCAATAAGCACAGCACATCTTTCTGCGGCTTAGCTACGGGAGAAGAGGTAGCCGTCCCTGAAGGAAAACAGCGAGCAGGTGTGAACTTGGGAATGACAGGGATGCAGAATATGGGTAGTCAGCTGTCTCCCTCAACTGGAATGGAATTCGACGCCTCTGTTTACGAAGGGCCCCAGATGAAGGCTGATGAAGTCATTGCCATGAGAACTCTTTTTGAAGCTTGCGACACAGATGGCTCCGGTTCCATACCGCTTAAAGAGCTGAAGAGCCGACTTGTGGTAAAATGCCGCAACAGCTACACCTTTTGTACCTTGAAAATCGAATCTGCGGAGACGCACAATATAGCTGCTAACCACCATGTACCTTCGTTACCCACACCCGTGACCCCATCCCCGGAAGATGAGCACGCAACTCTACTGTAATGATTCATCCTTTTAGGCGGCTGGGTTTGACGTTCGAGGGAGCGCACTGTCTGAAGTCCTCTGTATTGTAGACAGCAGCGGCAGGAGAGTAGTCACCTTCCCAGAATTCATGCAGCTTGTGACTCCGTCGTCTGACCTTTCATCTCCTGAAGAGGTACTGAAGACTTTCAAGCAAATGGATTCAGACTCCACAGGTCGCATAACTCTTAGACACATATCCAGAGCACTGAAGGAAGCCAACTTCACCGGAAATATGGCTCAGGATCTGTTGAGCCAGGCAGACGCTGACAATGATGGGTGCATCTTGCTTCACGAGCTACAGGAAGTCTTCAGCAAGCAGACATACCCTTAACAAGTTGCCGGCGCGATATTAAAACAAACATAATAAATTTGCACTCCAGTGCATGCTTAGGAACAAGACAATGCCAGAAGATGTACTTTAAGTTTACGGTGTCGGTGGAATGGGGCAACGCTCCTGACTTTGTTGGGGTTCCCCCAAATCTATTAACGTTCCCCACAAACTTCGTTAACACACCACTACTACAAAACCACAGCTCATAGCCTGCGTGTTGCGTAACATCCTTCTTTCCGCGTTGCACAGCAAGGCTCAGCTACAGACTCTGCTAAGAACAGCGTTACTGTAACTTCATTTATTTATACGCAAGGGCGCTTGTAAGAGTCAAATTTACCATTCTCATCATGCTCAAAGCCATTAGCTCGCGTGAATCATTGTTTGCATTCGTCTTCTGTGACTGGAGTTTTGCTTTAGAAACTATGTTCGGTAAGAATAGAGTGAGATCTCTCTGAAAGTTCCACAACCAGCGGAAGCTTGGTTGTGCATCACGGCCACATTAAAAGCGAAATTTGGGAGACACTGACGAGGCAATTAAGCCAACATGGCAGCTTTTTATTTAATGTGACAACGGGGAACGAGAAAAATACAAACTCGTTCACATTATTTCTAGCTCTCTGGTTTTTTGCCTCGGACTCACTCATCGCACGCCGCCAGCTAATCGAAGCTAGTGAACTGAAAGGAATAGGGAAAACTACAAAAGTAACCAGCTTAGTCCCGTGCAAGCGCGCGTTAAAAATGCATTAAGCAAAACGTGCAACTTTTCTGGTGCATCACTTGATGCACTAATTTCCGTAAAAGTGGAATCATTGCGTCATATTCGATTAAATAGCAAGATAGTCCCCACTGACCGCTTTGCTTCATGATGCCGATAAGATTGTACTTTCACAGCGACTCCAATACAAACTTTGTGACGATCGAAAGCTGCTGTATAGCCTCAGTAGCTCCTGTGCACGGCTTGCGTAAAATTATGGCTACTGTTGCTGCAAATTAGCAGTGAGTGTCTCCAGTACGTTTCTTTCTCAACAAAGAGAAGCGGCGGTAGAGGAGTTGCTGTACTAGCACTACGATTTTTCTCCACTCCAGCGAATTAATTCGTCGCCAGTGTGTTGCACAATTTTACTTGCATCCATTGCGGCTCTGGCATATACAAATATTAGTGAAAGTTACAAGCATCAAAAATTTGGAGGTATAAAGCAAGCGCTAGTGTCAATGTAAGAAATGAATATTGCGCTACTTAATTTTTAAGCTTATGTACACCACTCTCGTACCGTGAATGTAAAAGCAACTAGCTCATATGTTCCGTTGTGGCACCGCAGAAGTTGGCGAGAGACCGTGGACGGGTATTTTTTCGGTAGCTTCGTCCGTCTTGACAGGTGTGTGTAACTTCGGAGCACAGTGTTCTGGGAGTGGGGCCCCCGTTTTTGCGGTTCTAGCGCTAGAGCTAAGCTTCCTCTAGCGTCAGCTTGATGGTTTTTCTCTCCGTATTTCAGTTATTCACGTAACGACGCCAAAGTACATTAGAGCGTTGAATGCAACGGAACGGTTTGCTGGACTGCTGGAGGTACCAGTTACACTAGGGTGAAGTCACCTCAGTCAATCACTTCTAAGCAAAAGCCGTTACAGGGGCGGCATTCAGACCGTTTGATGTCCAAGAGGGAATAAAGGCTGCTATCAAGGCCGCAATCTAGGAAAAAGTTTTCCCCACCCGTGTAGAGGGGGCGATGCTGCTGCTGACCTGGAAAGGATTGCGGTAATATTCGGGGAAACAACGAGGCGGCTTCAGCACGCGCAAGAGCCGTTAAAGGTGTAATGATTTGCCCGCACTTAGTCGAAATGCCCAGAACAAGCTCTACAACATCTTCAGGGCGAAGAAACGCCGCATGTAGGCAGCAAGCATTTGAGATGGCAAGTGAAAAGCTGTCAGCAGCGGTGCAAGCTGTGACTGTAGGAGGCTCATTCGCAAACGCATAAACAACGCTATGTCTTCTTTCTTGAGCTGTGCCGCCATTGTCTTGCAATGGATGCAGGCTACGCAGTGCATCTAGAAGAGGAGACGTGCAGCGTGAGAAGGGGAGATGTCACCTTCAATTGGTCGCACAAGGAGAGTACCTGGGTGACCTAGAACTGGCATGTTAAAGGGCCAGGAACACTTAGCGCCTTACTTGACAACTGTGTCTTGAAAGGACAGAAAAATCACGGCTTTTGTGGTTTTTAGGACTTTGGAAAGCGCCTGGTTCCTTGGTTCCCGTTCGGAAGAAATTTTCGAATCTCGCCGTAGATTCCACGTCTCGGCAGCTCTACCTTGACTCAGCTCAATTCTATTAAATTATACACTCTAATGAAATGCACTGTTCCGAGCTGGATTTTTCTATTGGATTTCCTTCATATGTATACATCTACAGACAACTTCTCTTATCCAGTGGATGCCTCCCGTCTTCGCAGTATTTCAATGGTGTAGGCCGTGGAAAGAGCCCTGCGGCAAAAGCCTTCTAAAATACTTTAAACAAAGTGGGAGTCTCGATATGATATTAGCTCACTGGGAAATCTGTAGCACTCGGCAAAGTCAGCGATTAAGTAAGCGATGCACTATATAAACGTAATATATTTAAACAGTAGACATTACAACCTAATATAATAGGAAATGGAAGCTTAGTGAAACCTATCACTATTTCTGATGGCAGGAGCATAGGCCACCACTGAGGCCACGAAGGATACCAGTAGCTCTTGCTGTGGAGCAGAACACCTGTATTATTTTTACTGAGCGAACCGGCGCGTTCCTGGTTCATGTCTAGCGCCGCAGCAACAGCCACGCATGAAATGTCACTTTTCAGCACAACCTGATGACTGGGCTCTGGGACGTGTACAGTAAAATAATGTGTAAGTCTATATTTGAACGTTCAAAACGTTCTATTGTGCTGAGGGTTGCATTCAAATCCCATATCACTGTTTGTAAGGGCTGCAACAGGCTTGGCCAGGGTTTGTAACTCGGGAATTGTAAGCGTCGGACATTCTGAAGCTATCGGATCTTCGTGTTATTCTGTAGCACTCCCCGAACAACTCTCGCAGCTTCCAGCCTTTAGAGAACGGGCTTAACGCCGTTGGAACCGACAACACACTCCACCTAATCGACAGTGTTTTGCGGAAACATACTCTAAATGAACTTCGGGAGCATGCGATCACCGTGCACTATAGGACGCACTTTACCAAGTAATGCTGTTTGTTCACTCAAACCGCTTGCATATATTGAACCCACCAACCAGGTATGCAGTTAGATCCCTGGCAATATGTTCAATGGCCATAATCTTCATGGTGGATTGAAGGCTTTCCAGACGTTTCCTGAACCGAATAATGCTGCTGTGAAGTTAAGTATTGCTCACATGACACCAGTTTCGCACGTCGTCCCATACACTCTTATTGAATGTTGGTCTTCTCACGTATCTGTTTATAACAAACCCTGGACGCAAGAATCATTTCTACTATACCTGTTGCAGTAAGCAACTGCATAATTTCGGCGAAAGTAGACAACAGCTTGAGCTGCTAACAAGTGACCGGCACCCGTAACCGTATTTTCGGGTAGCGGGTTTCTTCTCAGCTTCATTGCAGCCGGCAGCATATCTACCGTATTCTAGTTCCCCTTGGTGCCTTTTGTACTTCTGGGGGTAGTTGGATCATCCAATTTTCTGCGTTTGCCATTAACATCGTATCCAGTGCATCCATCATACACTGATGAGCTGCGCTCTCTGTATGGTCCACAAAATATGCTGGCAAACAAACTGCTTCTTCAGCAAGCACATCCCGCCGGCCAATCAACCGAGGAACATTGAGCTCGTTTGCACCACTTCGGAAGGCCAACTAACCTATTGAAAGCCCCAATTTGCCCTTAAAATTAGATGAAGTTCCCTTGGCCTGGAATGATATTGAATATGCGGGTATACACAAAAAGCTCGATGAGAACCCTATTATAAAGCTGGGTCACTCCACCTGGCGCACAAGCATCGCGCTACCAGCATCATCAGTGGCATTCTCGACTCTGTAAAAGCCTTCTGCTGGCAGCGTAAGTCTAGGAACTTCTCCCGTTAAGCTGGACAACAGAACGGCAGAAATGCATGATCCCCGAGCACCAGCAGCTGCTGATATGTAGGCTAACCCGCGTCGTTCTTTTCTTATTCTCTGCTCTCACTGGTAGGATCTAACCCTGATGGCTCACCGAGAACGCAGCATCAGTGAGCCTCACCCTGTTTCAGAAGAGTTTGATCATGCTACTGCTGCTGCTGCTGATCTTCCTGAAGGTGTGTCTTCAGCAGCTGACCGCGTTCTGGGGAAGCAATATTTCATGTACTTAGCGCTGATGTATCGCACCATAGCTGTCGACTGTTCATGGAATTGCAGCAAATGCCTGTCTCTCGTCACTTATCTTCACCGCCAAGGCGACAAAAGTCGGGCTTCACGATTTCTCCTTCAAATTCGCCTTATGCCCATTTTGTAGTGCGCATCACTGCAACGCTGCCCAGAAATGCCCATTAGAGTCATAATTCAGAATGTGTAATTTGAGGTAATTAGCTTAAGCAATACAAATCCAAAGAGACTTAACCTCTGGCGACAATGCCTCGTGTACTCTGCAGTTACACTCACGTCTTTGCCGCGATAAGCAGAGCAGATGCTGCAGCGCAATGCACGCCCACGCGGTGAAGGAAGAACATCTGAAGAAAATAAATGTACCCTTGAAACGAAGGAAGTGCAATAATGCTTTTTGGGCCGTTTTTAAACCTTAGTAGTGTCTTTAATTACTAATAGTTATGAGCCTATGTTTCTACACTAGGGGAGGCAAGTAGAAGCGGAGCTGAGCACAGTTCACCACAGTTTAACCCCCCAATACACGCTTCAATGGCTTGAGCGCAAAAGCTGCTCAGTTGGATCATTTCAACTAGCCCTACGCCTTGGCTTGGAGACTTTTGCAGCGGTGCACAAATCGCCGCATCTCTAAGGCTCAGGCCAGC